TGTACAAACTTCCAAGATTATATCAGGAAAAAATAGAAATTTTCAGCAGACTAGTTATAAGCAGGGCAGTTGAAACAGTAATCAAAACTCTCTCAACAAACAAAAATCCTGGAGCTCTACCAAACCTTTGAAGATGAACTAGTGTCTGTCCTTTTCAAACTCTTTCCAAAAATTGAAGAGGAAAGCTTCCAAATACATTTATAGGACCAACATTGCCCAAAAGCAGACAGGATATCACCCAACTCATAAAGTGAGTTCCTTTATTATCCCCATTTTACAGATAAGGAAACTAAAGCACAGAGAAGTCACATAACGCTCCTGGGCCCTATGGCATTGCTGGTTCAGTCTGCGTCTGGACTTAAGCAAGCTGACTTAGCCATGCTCATGATCACCAGAGTCTACTCACTTGTTGGGTCTTACCTAGGTTAGTCATGCCAGTAATTAATCATAGGATGCAAAGTCAGCAGCAGACCAGCAAGTCCAGAAGCTATCATAATGGTCCTGGGAGAAAATGATGGGGGCCTCAACTGGGATATGGCAAGGGCAAGAAATTGGGGATAGATTGAGGGGCTGTCTTGATATCAAAACTAGCAACTTAATGAGAGGGAGAAAGGAAGACATTTTAAATAGGAAAATGGGGCCTCCCTGGTGGCGCAAGGGGTTAAGATGCAGCACTCTGAAGCTGTTTGCAGCCACTGAAGTATGAGTTCGATCCCTGGCCAGGGAGCTCACCCACATGGTGCAGCAGACCTCCTGTCTCGCCCGCTGCTCCCCTCAGCAGTGTATTTCAGTGAATCCACCTGTTCTGTTCCCTACTCTGTCTCTAGTGAATCCTCTCACCCTCCACACCTCTGGCCTGTACCCCAGCTCTTGTATAAATAAATAAATAAATCTTTTTTAAAAAAATAAAGTAGGAAATGGGTGCTCTGGGTAAAGAAAAGAGAAGATGAGCCCCATGTGGACATGCTAAGTGAGAGGCTCCTCCTTACATCAAAAGATGTCTAGCAGACAAGTGGCTTAACTGGCCTGGAAGTTCGGAGAGAGATCAGGAATAGACACAGGGCAGTCCCGCATCCGTCCACTTGGGAGTTCAGTGTTAGCTAAGGAACAAACCACTTCCACTGCGCTGGGCGTCCTCCCAGAGGTGGCCTTTGGACCAGACTCTAAAGACGGGAATGTTCTTCATTGAGAATTGGGGATATCGGAGAGGAGGAGTGGGAAGTGGGGTGTCAAGAGTGATGAGGAGTCTTCCATAGAGGAAACCAGAGACTGAGGTGTAGGTGTGGATAAGAGCAGGAAGGTTACCAGGGAAAAGCTACAGAAAACTTTGGAATGACTTTTGATGACTTTTTCAAATCTGATAGAAAATGAAAGTCTTCACGAAATGTTTTATACTGACATTTCAAAATTCAGTTCAAAATTGCTGCTTCCCCCTTTACTCCTCCAAAGTATTCTTAAAACCAGTGTTAACAGAGGATGTGTGTGTAAGCCATCTTTAATATCCTGCTGTAGGCTTCTGATAAAGAACTTGTTCCTGGATACCCAGGCCTCCAGGAGACCTGTCATATGTGTCTTTTTTTTTTAAGATTTATTTTATTTATACAAGAACCGAGGTACAGGCCAGATGCGTGGAAGTGTGAGAGGATTCACCAGAGACAGAGTGGGGAACAGAACAGGCAGACTGATGAAATACACTGCTGAGGGGAGCAGCGGGCAAGACAGGAGAGGTCTGCCGCACCATGTGGGTTGCTCCGTGGCTGGCGGGGATCGAACCAGCCACTGCAGTGGCTGTGGACAGCTTCACAGCGCTGCGTTCAACCACCTGCGCCACCAGGGAGGCCCTCATATGTGTCTTATCAGTATCAACCACCAAAAGGGCACATGAGGACAGGTGGTGAGAGGCAAAACCTTAATTAACAGCAGAGAAGAAGCAGGACCACATATGGGTATGCAGGGAGGGATTGTGGTCAAGCGGGACTACCACATGCAGAAGCCAATGAAAGCTTCTACCAGGAAAAGAACACTTGCTTGCTGCCTTGTTTCCATGTAGGCCACCTCTGGTTTTCAGGTTGGGGGGGAATGCTCTGTCTTGGCGATGCGGCAGACCACAAGCAGGTGCAGGCCTCACTAATAGTGACATTCAATTGCTGCAAAACATAAAACGCTCTTCTTGCCTGGTTTTCTCATAGACATGGAGTAGAAAAGCATAGGAGTCAGTCTGAAGGTTTAGAAGTAGGATATGGCTTCTCCTGAGCTTCACAAAGTTGCTGAAAGAAAGTGTAACAAGACTATTTGGTTTCCCCTATCATTGGAGCATTATTATAATTATCATGAAACATTTTTGGAAAATATCGGAGGAAAAAATGTCAACAGCCATCATCCATCCTTACTGTTAACATCTCGGTCTGTTTTTGCCAAGCTTTTCTCTATATTCTCTATATCTTTTTCAATTTGTTTTGCACAGTTAGGTTCAAGTCAGATACACAATTATATATCTAGGTTCTCTTTTTTAATGTTGGAGTGTAAACATCTGTCCATTAAACTATGGATTTTAAATACCAACAAAAACCCTTCACCAGACAGTTTTATGAGTAAATCAAGGGCCTCCTGAAGTGTAGCTGGAAAACTGGCAGCAGCTGGCGTGGAAGGCCATAGAGCTTTTAGCCCGAGAGTCCTTCAGGAACAAATCAGTCCTGAGGGTGAGGTGAGGCTGAGGCTGGTCTTGAACTAGCCTGATTTTAAGAGTACCAGACCTACCCCGGAAGGATCAGAGAAGCCACCAGCCTCCTGGCCATTTCTGAAGGCCCTGGAACTGATCTTATTTTGCAGGAAGGCTGTGGGCCTTCCCACAGTCCAGCCTGTAGAAGTAAGAGCACTGCAGCTGCCTCACCTTCACACACAGGAGGGACAACCCAAGTGAGCTGCCTTCTCCGCCTCGGGGTGTTGGCTCCCGACTGACTCAGGCTAACTTAGTGACTCCCACAGCTCTATTTGTGACTTGTGCTTGGAAAGTAATCAGATGGTGAAAGTTATAAGTAGCTCACAGGCTCCAGGTTTAGGATTTTTAGCATATAAATTTTTTTGTTAATTAGTCGTTATGGGGAAGATGTAGGTGATCTGAGGATGAAAATAAGATCTTAAGAAGGTGTCTTTCACAGGGCTGTCGACTTGCCTAGCCTAGGTTTTGACTTCCCAGTGTCTCTGAGATGTCAACAAATTGCTGCTTACTTGCAAAGGAATGTACTGTGAGCTGGGGAAGAGCCCATTAGTTCTTCCTCTGACTAAATTATTTGAGTGTGATGTAAAAACCAAAACACCCAAAGTAACAAGACAATTTAACCAATCATTTTTATTAAATGAGTTTACTGCAATGTTTTTCTCTTTATTTGGCACATTCCCTTCTCCTCTATTTGACCTAAGTTATTGCAAGATTGTGCTAACATGGCACATGAGGAAAGCATACACCTCGGATACGAGCCAACTGGGTTTGAGTTCTGGCACAGAGTGACTGGATGTATCTCCTCAGCAATAAGATAAAAGCAATGACAGCGCTCTCGGGTAGTGATGAGGACTAGAGATGAGGGTTGTAAACCACTGGCCATCACTAAACAGTCATTATCACTTCCCACCCCTCTGCTTGGAAGGCCTCTGGGTCTGGCATGTGGGGTCTGAAATAAGAAGAGTCATACCCTGTCACTTGCACCCAGAGATTCACAGGGAAGATTAAAAGAGCCGGCACTTCCAGGGATGTATGGCTCCAAAGCTCATCCGTGTTGAATGAAGATCCTAAAATCCTACTTACTGGGCCATTTGCCCAAACCCAGGCTAGAGATCATCCATGCCTGTGGAGTAGCTGGCAAAACTTTCCAATCCTTTTCCATAATTTCCATCTGAATGCATTTGGTTTTGCTGCTGGATGAAGAGCACCCTCAACTTTTAACAACTGTTTTGTGATCTCTTGTGAGGTACAAATCAGTCAACTTTAATATAAAAAGTGATCATGTCAGAGTTGCTCTTTGGGAAAGATAAACTGACAGTTATCATGAGTACTGAAGTCATTTCCTACGTTGGGGTTTCCCCGTTCATTCTGAGCAAGGTCCCTTCCCTATGGCCTCTGCTCAGAGCACTGAGCATGGCTGACCCACCCAGATGCGCGCGCGGTATGTGGTGGGACAGCCCTGGCTGCATTCCCAGGCACAATGCTGCTGCCCCTCCAAGTTGTCATTCTTCTCCCAGAGGTGTGTTTCCTACTTCTTACCTTTCATTTCTGACTTGTGGCAGTTTGTCTTGAGCCCTGGGTAAACACAAAGCATCCATCACTCCCTCTGGAACTTTTGTCCAGGACAAGCCAGGGAATGAGTCCATGGCACAGAATGGACCTGGGTCTCGTGAAGATGGACTTTTCCCTGGTCAACCCTGCTCAGGCCGAGTATGGAGTATGCGTGTTCTCCGCCCCACAACCCCTCCTGTTTGTGTTCATTGTAATGGGAGCCCTCACCTCTGAGCTCTCATTGATCTCATGACAAAAGGCAGTGTTTAAGAAGGGGGGACTCCTTTGTGGTCATACATATCTCATGTCTTAACCCATGAATTTAGTCCTTTCCATGGTGACCAAGGAGTAGGTCTGAGAACCAAGTTTCAGAGTAACTCTTAATACCCTTAGGAGAAATTCTTCTCTGAGTGTCCAGTCTGATTAGTGCCTGAAAGGATATTTGTTTTGTAGGAGTGTTTAGGGCAGGATCAGAAGGCTGCACCTGCTGGGTTCAGGACTGCGGGTGGTGCCTGACTCGGCAAGATTGGTCTCCACTGACCAGCTGGCCTGTAGGATTCAGATGTTAAATTAACAGTCTTTTAGAGTGACTTCCTAGGGCCCCTCATCTTATTGTGAGTTGGTCTCCTGGAATCAAGGCTCTGGGGAGCAACAACACTTGGGGTTTTCATGCTGCCTTAACAGAATACATGCTGCAGTTGGCCACATTGTGCTCTCTTTTTCTTCCCAGCATCCCAGTGCAACGTCAGCTTAAAAAAGCAGAGGAGCCGCAGCATCCTGAGTTCTTTCTTCTGCTGCTTCCGTGATTATAATGTGGAGGCCACGCCCGTCAGCAGCCCCAGTGTGCTTCCGCCACTGGTGGAGGAGAACGGTGGGCTTCAGAAGGTCAGTGCTGATGGAACTGGGCACTCAGCAAAACTGCAGGAACAGCACATTTGGCCCATCCTTGATCAATATCCTTAATAAGGGTCTATGACAATATGTGTGCCACAGCCATTTAATTAAAGAGTTGAAATAACCAAAAAAGTCATTTTTGTTGTTCAAGAGTTATCTCAGTCCTTCCCATTTAGCAACTGAAGAATATATTTCATGAGAGTTGGAAACCTCATTTCGTATTTTATAACATTCTCTGTTGGGACGTTGACATGAAATGCAAGACCCAGTGGCAAAGAAGTGGAAATACAAATGCAAAACCAGAGCCACAGAAAAGAGACAACCATAAATAGAAATGGATTCGAATGCCTTGCTTAATAACAGACATATTTGTTACATATTTTCTGTGTATTAAGTGAAAATTTTTAAGTCAGGTTGTCATAACAGGCAAAAAAATTCTGCTCACATGCTGACACACATTTCCTGATAAACAAAGTGACTCAGAACAGTTAAAGGCAAAGGAATACACAAAGACATCACACAAATATAGGCAAGAAGAAAGCAGAGGTAACAGTATTGAGCTCAGTTAAAATTGAATTTTGAGTAAAAATCACTGAAATAAGAAATGAGGAGTATTCATTATGCAGATAGTAGAGATTTAGGACACAAAAATCATGAAACTTTTGTGTCCCAAATATTGTGAACAAAGAACATTAATAGGCATTACACAAAATAAGATATACAGTTGATTAGTAAACATTAAAAAATGTTCGATGGTTAATCATCAAAGAAATGCAAACTAAAAATACTCTTTGCTATATATTAAAATATAAAAGATATTTTTAAAAATAATATTTGGGGGCCTCCCCGGTGGCGCAGCGGTTGAGCGCTGGGTTGCGAAGCTGCCCGTGGCCTCTGCGGCGCCGGTTCGATCCCCGGCTGCTCCCCTGCCACGGCGGAGGGTCCCGCATGGCGCGCAGACCTCTCCTGCTGCCCGCTGCTCCCCTCAGCAGTGTACTTCGGTCCTTCTGCCTGCTCTGCTCCCCTCTCTGGCTCTGGTGAATTCTCTCACCCTCCCGCGCTTCTGACTGTACCCAGTGCATGTATAAACAAAACAAACAAACAAACCAGCAAGCAAATAAATAAAGCATGCCTCTATTAAAAAAAAAAAAAAAAAATAATATTTGGGCTTGGCATGGAGTAGCAAGAGACGAGGAAGATAAAAATCTGTTATGTAACAGTGTTAATTGGTAACACCTTTCTGTAGGTGTTACTAATATTGACATAATTAGGGACATGCAAATATTTAGCCATAAGATACTACCCATAGATAAAGATGTAAAACTGAGGCAACTTGATGATCAAAAATAGACAGTAAAAGACCAGGAGAGGGCCTCCCTAGTGGCGCAACAGTTGAGCGCTGGGTTGCGAAGCTGCCCGCAGCCTCTGCAGCGCCGGTTCGATCCCCGGCTGCTCCCGGCCACTGGAGGAGGGTCCCGCATGGCGCGCAGACCAATCCTGCTGCCCACTGCTCCCCTCAGCAGTGTACCTTGGTCCTTCAGCCTGCTCTGCTCCCTGCTCTGGCTCTGGTGAATTCTCTCACCCTCCCACGGTTCTGACTGTACCCAGTGCTTGTATAAATAAATAAATAAATCTAAAAAAAAGACCAGTAGAATAATCATACAAGCAAACAGTACATCGCTGCTAGAAATGATGTGTTGTATATATTACTGATTTAGAGAAAGATTCACAATATGACACTTAGAGCAAAAAAACTACAATATTGTAGGTGAATGTGTCTATAGTACATATAGTCATATTCACATGAACACAGGCATTTATAGAGGATGATAATGACCCCAAAAAAACCTTTTTTTTGCTGTTTCCAATATTTACAAAATAAATTTTAATTATTTTTTTGAGTAGAAAATAAATTAGTTTAAAATACATATGGATGTAAGGAAGAGGATTCTGGGAAGATGACTTTCTCATCTCAGACTCTGACCATTTTTAACTCCCCTTTGGATAAACCCAGGTGAGCCTGCTGCAGAGCCTGGAAAGTACACCAATGACTCCAGTTTCCCTGACGCCTCCCGGGGAAAGAGCATTCAGTACTCATTCTCTCTGGTCCTCAATGAATAATGGGGAAACCACCAACAGACAGTGCTTATCTCTTAAAGACCTAGGACAGATTTGAAACATATGAGCTGTAGAGGCCAAGAGGCACCTGTGGGCCTCCTTGGAAAGGTGCCTGGTGCCCACTTGTGTGTGGCCATTGGAGGAGCTGCACTGATAAGCTGTTTTTAGGTCCTGGCCCTCGAGGAGCCCAGTTGCACAGGAACTCTCTTCATATCTTTGTGGCTTGCCAGTTTGGGCTCTGCTGGACCATGAAAAATAGACAACTCAGGAAATGCTATTTCAGGAAATGAATTGTAGACCTTAAATGACTTCTAGCACTTAGAAAGAAATCCCATGGCCACCCTCTGTATTTTCTAAATATAAAAATTCAGTAAATTGAGGAAAAGGAGAATAAGATGATCACTACTGAGCAATGAATTAATGTTCTGGAAGAGCAAATGGAAAAAAAGGTCTTACGGTGCAGACCAGAAGCACAGAGATGGTAATAGTGGCAGAGAAAAGAGATACTTAGGACACCTAACATGAAAGTAAATAGAAGTTCCAGCAAGAAAAGTGATAGAAGAAATTTTTCTTGAGCTGGGAAAAAAAACAAACTTGAATGTGCAGATTGAAGGGTTTAGCAAGCCTACTGCAAGATTAGACAAGTAGGGGGACACCACTTGATATATGCTCTTGAAGTTCTGGAATTTAAGGATAAAGAGAAAATCTTGCAAATTACCAAAACCAGTTATTTTCAAATAAATGAGAATTATACTAGTACCAGTTTCATCAGCAACTCTGGAAGCAAGAAGGCTATGAAAAATTGTTGCAGGCTAGTGGGAGAAAGGGATTACAAACCAAAAATTCTATATGTGACTGAAATGCCATTTATCTACTAAGGCAAAAGCAGTACATTTTCACATAGGTAATGATTCAGAGAAAGGGTAAGACTGATATTCAGGGCCTCCCCGGTGGCGCAGCGGTTGAGCGCTGGGTTGCGAAGCTCCCCACGGCCTCTGCGGCGCCAGTTCGATCCCCGGCTGCTCCCCGGCCACAGGAGGAGGGTCCCACATGGCGCGCAGACCTCTCCTGCCGCCCGCTGCTCCCCTCAGCAGTGTACTTCAGTCCTTCTGCCTGCTCTGCTCCCTGCTCTGGCTCTGGTGAATTCTCTCACCCTCCCGCGCTTCTGACTGTACCCAGTGCTTGTATAAACAAACAAATAAATAAATACATGGAAAAAAAAGATTTATTAAAAAAAAAAAAAAAATATTTAAAAAAAAAAAAAAAGACTGATACTCAGTTACAATATAATTATAGAAAATATAGGAATAAATATGACTTAGGAATAGAACTGTAACAAATAGCACAATTAGAAAATTAAGGAATGAAAAAAAAGAACAAATAGCATAATAAATAGTAAACCTAACATAAAGAGCAGGCATAAAACCAAGTTCAATAAACTAAATCCCTCCTAACAAAAGATCAAGACTATCAGATTGGCTTGACAAATTTGTCTGTGTGCTGTTCCAAGAAAATACATGTATCAGATTGGAATGATTTTGGCAGCTGGTAAAAGAAAACTGACAAATAATAGCTTAAACAAATAGGGGATTATTTTTCTCACATAAAAAGTCCATGTCTGGTAGTTCCTGGGGTTGGCTGAGATGCCCCATGAGGCCATTAGGGACCCTCCTTGTTTCTGCTCTTCTGTCTTTACCTCTGTCTGCTCTACCCTCCTTGGCATGTTTGCCTTCGTCTTGTGGTTTATTGTCTCAAAGTCACAGGCTTCAGACATCAGATCTACATTTTGAGGCAAGAAGAGAGGGAGGAGTTGCACTCACCATGTCTGTCCCGTTCCTGGAAAGTCTGTGCTTTCACAGAAAATCCTAGGAACCTTCTGTTTGCCTATTGACTAGAACTTTGTCACATAGCTACCCTCCAGCAGCACGGAGGGCCTGAAAAACAGAGAATTTAGACTGGTATGTTCCTAACCTCAACACAGGTAGAGCTCATTTCAGAAAAGAGGAGAGAGGAATGAGTACTGGTGTGAGTTCAGTTTTCCTGCAGTAACAATCCCCGAAACTTCAAACACTTCAAACAATACAAATTGATTTTTCATTCATGCTACATGCTTATCATGGGTTGCCTGGATCTTTTACCCTGTGGCACAATTCAACAGAAATATGATGTGTGTAATTTAAATATTCTAGCAGCCAAACTTTAAAAATATTTTCTAAAAGATAAAATTAATTTCAATAATTTATTTAGCCCAATATGTCCAAAGAATTATTTTGACATGTCATCAATAGAATGTATTATCAGCAAGATAAAATTTTCATTCTTTTTATCTTACTAGTTCTTCAAAATCTGATGTGTTTTATACATACAGCACATCTTCATTTAGACTAGCCACAGTTCACATGCTCATTAGCCATATATGACTAATACCTACCATTATTGCCTGGCATCACTCCATTTCATCCTTATTCATGGACCTAGACTGAAAAAGGCTTCATCTCTTTGCTTCTGTGATGGTCTCAGCAGGAAAAAAGAGAATGTGGTGAATCGTATTGATTTCTAAAGTTTTTACTCAGAAGTAAAATATGCCTTATTTTGCCCTAAATTTTATTGGCCAAAGCAAGTCACATGACAACATCTAACTTCAAAGGGCATGGAAGTATAATTCTACCATGTGCCCAGAAAGAAAGCTGAAATTATTTGGTGAATAGTGCTAATGACTATTATAGTAGGTGGCTAGTAATTTATGACCTAATCTAACATAGTCATTAAAAAAAAAAAAGGTGGAAAATGAAGTGGCAGGTAAAATATGTAAAGCAGATTTTTTTTAAAAAAAAAAGGAAATCAAAGTGGTAATATTAATATCAGACAAAACAGAATATAAGGCCCCAAACTATTCAACAAGAGAAAGAAGGACATTTTATTATGATAAAAGGTCTAATAAATTTGGTGTATAATAGCCATGAACCTTTTCAATACCAGTTAACAATACTGCCAAATACATAGGAAAAAAAATATTCAGACATGATAAAAAAAAAAAAACAACAACACAGAAAGAGAATTAGTAGATTTCTGGCTAGTAAGTGATAAGAAAATGAAGTAATTTTTTTGAAAATGAAATATTTGGTATAAATATAGAAAAGATACAAAATTAGTTTTAATTGCAAATGACATGATTTTTTAAAAGATTTATTTATTTATTTATACAAGCACTGGGTACAGTCAGAAGCGCGGGAGGGTGAGAGAATTCACCAGAGCCAGAGCGGGGAGCAGAGCAGGCAGAAGCACCGAAGTACACTGCTGAGGGGAGCAGCGGGCAGCAGGAGAGGTCTGTGCGCCATGTGGGACCCTCCTCCGGTGGCCGGGGAGCAGCCGGGGATCGAACCGGCGCTTCAGAGGCTGCGGGCAGCTACACAACCCAGCGCTCAACCGCTGCGCCACCAGGGAGGCCCGCAAATGACATGATTCTTTACATAGAAAACCCAAAATCCTGAGAACAAAAAAATAGAATTATGAAAAGGTTTTGATATGGTGGCTCTTATTTGTGAAGAATATGCTGTGTTTCTGGATAAAAACGACATTAAAACTCATATAGGAGGGAAAATGTCTAAGAATAGCTAAAAAGTTTTTGGGGAAAAATAATGAAAGATAAACTGACTTAAGGGATATTAAACCTGCCTCTACACTGGTGTCAAAAAAATCTACCAGTGGAATATGTATGAGATTCCATTACTATCAACCCTATTGTAGCCGGAGATTCTGACATCCCCTGGTTTGCCTACCTCATTCTCTCCTCCCAGGTGAAAGTCACTTCTGTACCAAATCGCCATTAGTGAAAGATAAATACTTTATATCCTATATCTGTTGCAGGGGGGAGGTGGGGGGGAGAAAAGATTAACTGCCATTATAGTAAAAGTTATTTTAAAATAGTATCTGCCAAGAGGAAATGACATGAGTAAGTGGTGTGACCCCCAGCGACTTCCTGGAATACTCAACTGTGTATATCAGATAATAAAGTCCTTTAGAGGCAGAGCTGAGCACAACTGGACTTCCTTTGGTTAGCGTTTATCAAAGTAGCTTTTTAAGGAATTAAGTTAACTTAGATAAATCTGAAGGGGAGGTTCTGCCTCATTTGCATAACACTTCCCAATTCAGTCTGGGAGACCAGACCCATGGAAAGAGCCCATGTTTAAGTGGGGCATCTCATTTCTGGAAGAGGACCCTCTGCCATTTGCAGCCAGGATCCCTGGAGCCCAAATCCCAGGCCCATTAAGTGTTGCAGCAGATTTCAGTTCTGCTCTATTGCTGGTCCCCCAGCTGTGCCTGGCTCCCAGCATGCCAAAAGAAGCAGGAGGACTGTGAACAACAGCTGGCCTCTAGGTTTCTAGCCACCTTGGGTGTTTTACTTTGCCCTGGAGGAAATGAGGATTTGGAGCCTCTCAGTTTCAAGGTGCTTCCGCAGCAGTGACATGGGGTGGCAACTATTGCCACTATCACAGTCACAACCTGGACCTATAAGCCAGTTCCCCAAAATGCAAGTATCTGCCATCCCTGCCAGGACCTGGAAGAGTCACTTCCCTGAAGATCTCAATTACAAAGACCACGGAGGACTTTCAAGGGCAAAGATAGTAAAATGATTGCTGAACACTCACTAATATATGCAGACCCATGTGTACACACACTTACATACATGTAACGTCTCTTTAGTCATAGTCTGTTTTTTTCTTTTAAAAAAAAGAAGCTCTAACTTTTTTTTTTTTTAAGATTTATTTATTTATTTATACAAGCTCTGAGTACAGTCAGAAGCGCGGGAGGGTGAGAGAATTCACCAGAGCCAGAGAAGTGAGCAGAACAGGCAGATGGACGAAATACACTGCCGAGGGGAGCAGCGGGCGCCTCAGGAGAGGTCTGCACGCCATGTGGGACCCTCGCGGGTGGCCGGGATTGAACCGGCTCTGAAAAGGCTGCTGGCAGCTTTGCAGCCCAGCGATCAACCACTGCGCCACCATGGGAGGCCCTAGTCGTAGTCTATTTTGTCAAGCCCTTCGGCTGTGTGGCTGTCATCTCCCATCACTGGTGTGCTCTCATCCCATCACTGGTGCGCTCATCTCATCAACACCCACACCTATGTGTAGGTGTGTGTAGGTGTTTGCATCTCCCTTAAGAGGAGTGGTTCTCAACCAGAGACTGGTTTGACTCCCAGGGAACATCTAGCAATGTCAGAGACATTTTTGATTGTCACTGTTGGGGGCGGGGCAGGTTCTACTGTCTTCTAGTGGTAAAGACCAGGTAGAGACCAGGAATGCTGTTCTGCATCCTATAGTGCGCAGGAGTCCACCCCTGCCCCCAGCAAGAGTGACGGGGTCTAAATTTCTGTAGTGCTGAGGTTGAGAAACCCTACCCTCACCAAGGGTTTATGAGCATCTGGTTAAAATCACCCCATCAAGAGCAGTGATCTGCTCCTAGGTCCAGATTTGGGGCTATTATTTAAGAGCTTCTGAAAGGAACTTTTCTGCATAAGTTCTTGAAAACTGGGCTTTGATTTGATTGCACCATCATGTTGAAGAAAGCATGGCTCTGCTTTGAATGACTGAAGACAGTGTAGAATCCTTAAGACAAACCCCAAGTGTCCTGAAAAAGGAAAGAGCCACCAAGATCTTCTCAACAGGAGACCGTAGTTGCTGTTCCACTGCCGATGTAATGACTGGAAACTGCAGATAATAGAGAAGCTGCTGAGTGGTCCTAAGTCAGAGTGGAGCTCAGAGGGCGTCAGCACTTGTCACTGTTGACAGTCAGATTTGGCCCCTTCCATGACACCCTGTCACCAGTGACCCCCTCAGTCAAAACGGGTACATCTGTCACAGACCCTTCAGAGTGGGGGTGCATCTCCTCATCAGCAACTGTGAGGCTGCCACATTCCTCCTGTCCTGATACCTGAAAGAAACACAGAAACTGGAAACGCTCCATTTTGTTCTTTTATTAACATTTCTTAGTGACACTAAAATGAAGTGTTTCCATCAACCAGGTTTGGAATGTGTGGCATTCCAGGGCTGAGGAGTGGTTGAGGCCCTTTCTTGGGGCCTGAATTTTCTTAAGACTCCCTGTCAATACAGGTTCTGTTCCCTTAAAGGGAAAGCCGTTTCCATGTCTGTGGCCCATGAGGGAGCTCCTGTGCCCTGCCTGCACTTCTGCACTGTCCTGCCAGAGGAGAGAACAGGGGTGACAGGGGGTCCCTCAGAAGCTAAGCAGCTTGTCTTCCTTTCCCTGCCTATTGGGTTGATTTGAGGCTTAGTCTTTTTAGAGAAATACCTAATTTTAAAAATAAAAGAAACAGGGCCTCCCCAGTGGCGCAGCAGGTTGAGCACAGTGCTCTGAAGCTATCCGCAGCCTCTGCAGCGCAGGTTTGAATCCCAGCCGGCTAGGGAGATACCCACCTGGCGCAGCAGACCTCTCCTGTCTCGCCCGCTGCTCCCCTCAGCAGTCCATCTTCCTGTTCTGCTCCCCGCTCTGTCTCTGGTGAATCCTCTCACCCTCCCGCACCTCTGACCTGTACCCCAGTTCTTGTATAAAAATAAATCTTTAATAATAATAATAATAATAAAAGAAACAAGCCTGTTCTTAGAGTAATACATTCAATGAAAAGTATGCATTTTAAATTAAGGATTAAATTCCTGGGAGGAAGGGAATAAGCAAGATGATTAATGAGCCTCTGGACTCAGCCTGGTTTGTCCAGGGAGGAGGGGGTCTAAAAGACAGAGTGGAACCGGTACCTAAACTATGGAAAGCCTTTGGGTTCCTCCCATACATTAAACACCACCAAGGTATTTGGTGGGAGGAGAAGTCTCATGGCTGCTGTATTCAAGAGTACTTTGAAGTTCTTTTGAGTGGATGATCTTAGTTCTCTTCAAATCTGACATGATTTTTTTTTTTTCTTTTTCCTCAGGGTGACCAGAGGCAGGTCATTCCCATACCAAGTGTATGTATATTTATCCAATTTTATTCAAACTTCATAGTATCTTGTGGCTTTGGACCTACACTATAAAAGTTTTTTTTAATGTTCTTGGTCACGTTGAGTTTTATCATGTGGTATAAACAGTTCTGTTCTGTTGAAAAGAAAAAATGAAGCTACACTTTAGACTGTGAGCCGGAAGTTCTGCACAGAGAGAATTTCCTTTCTTGGGAAGAGCAGGGCAACTCGCATCTACAAACCACATTTTCACTTTTCCTTTCTCTCTGCAAAAGGTCTGTTTCCGAGTCTAAGGAAGCGCAGGCAGATGCCACACTTCCCCACCCCAGTGCCTTAGCCCCAGCTTCCCAGCTTCATAAACTGGCAGAACATCTTTTGCCCAGACGTGGTAGACCTGGTTCTTTACAGCAGGTTCCACCCCAGTGCAACTAGGCTTGCCTGACCCAGGTCCCAGGTGAGCATGACTTTTCAGTTATGTCAGTAGTGTGGCTGCAGTTCTGAGATCAGAAAAATCACCCCTGTTGTAATCCCTGGCTGGCAGGACCCAACCCCACTTCTATAGGTCCTGCTCTGTGCCTGGCCTAACTTACCCCTTAGACATCTGTTGCCCACACTGCTCTTCTCCTCCTGTCCTGAGCTTTCAACCTAAGCCAGTCAGCAAGCAGCCTGGTGACTGACTCCCAAGAGAATCTTGCAGCTGAGACATCTGTATCAAACGAGACCTTTCAAACATTCCTGTGTCCTGAGAGAGGATTTAGGTTTTAAAAGATATTGATCAATTGATACTTTAATCTATGAAGATAATCTGATTTTGATTCATTCAAATCTATTCACCTGTCTTTCCTTAGTCTTGTTGACAATTTCCTTGAATATCCAAGAACCACAGCAATCTTAAAAGGAATGAAATTTCACTAGGACAGATTGAGTCCAAATTTGGTAACGTGTGTCACTTATAAACTGCCCAGAAAGTTTTCGATATTTTCTTTTTTCTCAAAAATTCAACTCTCCATTGGCTAACAAGTTGCAAGGTTTTGTGGCCTGACTCTCTGACTTTGCCAGCCTGCCTGGGATTAGGCTTTTGGGGAAAAATTATTAAAAACATTGGTGGAGTAGGACGATTTCTTATCCAGTGTTTGAGTAGGATCCCCAAAGGAGTTGATATCAGAGGTCTCTTTTTAACCTTTACACAAAGTAGTTTCATGTGTTTTTCCTGCTAAGGGGCTTATCTTAAACAGATGACAGGTGGCATGGTGGCATCTCTCCCCCTACTTCTGATGCTTCAGTAGTACTTTGCTTTTTTCTGTAAGTAAATTCATTGCTATCTGTAAAGTTAATTGTTTGATCACAGCATTTGTCAGGGTAAAATTTCTACTGAGGAAAATGACTCTTTTTCCCACCAAGCTAGACTAAGTCTGGATTCCCAGAATGAAATAATCAAGGAGAGAAAGATTCCCATGTTATTTAGCCCAGTGTTAGATCAATAAACTGTTGACAGTCTCTTCCATGTGAGACTCCGGCTCAGCCTTAAATTTTTAAAATAGCTTGTAGAAAAACAAAGACTTACATCTTTGAATTGTTAACCTCCAAAAAAGCAGTTTTGCATTGCCACTGCCTGCTTAGTATGCAGGACTGAACCCAAGTCCATCTGAAGGCCGGTTTGGCCCCAGGACTCAAGCCTTAGGATCCTCCACCAAATCTCCACCCACCTATCAAGGCTGTTTGTCATATAAACAGAGCAGTCCTGCCCTTTCTGTACCATTGGGGGAGCTGGTGAATGTGGGGAGTCCCCAAGGACCAGAAATCCAGTTATGCAGTCTCCAAACAAGGTCCCACATCCTCCTGAAAGCTTTCTCCGGGTCCTGAAATGAAGGCGATCCCTGAGCCCATTTGTGACCAGAGCATTTCTACTCAGGGTCCCTACCTCTGCTGCTCACTTTATCCCTCTTTTTCCATTCACATTCTGTTCTGTTTATACATGCAATTCTTTTGAATATTCTGCAAGCAATAATTCAAACTCATGGTTTAAAAAATACCGAAAGATTAAAGTGGAGGGGGAAAAAAATCCTCTACGTTGCACTCCGTGGAATAGCCACCTTTAATATTTCCTATATATCCTTCCAGAAATCTTGTGAGTAAACAGGAGCATATTTACATGAACGAGAGTTTTGCAGTCTTGTTTTTGCCTTTCTCAAGATACCTTAAACATCTTTCCAATATTAACACATAAGATCTACCTCATAGTTTCCACTTCCCATCAGTTATAAATACTTCTCTTAGACTGCTTTTGCATGTGTGTTTATAAACTTGGGAGCACTAATATCCATGTGATAGACTCCTAACTGTGGAAAAGCTAAATCAAAGGTTATATTTTACATTTTTGGTAGGTTAAAGCCAAATCATCCTCCAAAAGCCTAATTAACATTCCCATGAAGACTACATGCGATTTCCCATTTTCTTACCCAAAGTGCCAATTATCAAATGTTTTCATCATTGCTCATCTGATAGTAAAGAATGGTATTAATGTGTTGCTTTGATTTGCATTTCCTTATGACTGAGTATGAACATCTTTTCACAAACTTATTGTTCATAGGTCTTTTTCTTCCATATTTATTTCTTTGCGTTTTTATACTATATTCGTTTTCTTTTTACATTTCAAGGAAATTAGCACTTCTCCCCAAATTTATGATATATATGTTGGCCTTATTTATAATCTTTTTGGTCACAGGTTCATTTTGTATAGGCAGATGTACTAATCTTATCCTTCATGATTCCTGAATTTTATGTCATGCTTAGAAAGATGCCCCCACTCTATGACTGTAACCATATTTTCCCCTACTATTGTACACTTAAGCCTTTGCTCCATATGGAATTTATGTTGGTATAGGGCATTAAGTAGTTTCTTTATTTTTCCAAATGGCAAATCAGTTGTCTTGACATCATTTATTGGATAAATCCATCTTGGACACACCTAGTGAAAATGTCTTTATCTGGACTTGCTAAATGTTCCAGTTAGTAACCTCTGTCTCCCACTATGAGCTGGGATTTCGAGGCCTCCACAACTACATCTTAATAGCAAGCCTCGGGGCCTGTTTAGTGAAAGTTAGTTATTAGGAATAAGAAAAAAATGCAGAAGAACAGGTTTAGAAACTATTGAGGTTTGGGTCACCCAGGTTGAAGGTAGCACTCCAGTGCTTTGACCCCAGTAAGGAATGCACCTGGACTGTGACCCGACATTCCATTCCCATACTCCTGCTGGAAGCATACATGGGCACTGATGCCTAAAAACACAAGGTTGGCAGTGCAGTCGAGCCATAAAAATGCTGGAGGGGGAAAGAAGACATTTTTTTGGTTAGCATTTGTGTTTCTGTGCCATTTCTCTAAGTCTTTTACTAAGCAGTCATATGCTTTTTTGTCCCAAAGTCTGGTGGAGAACCTATGAGCAGAGCAATTATTCTAGTTAAAGCCAGTCTGGAGTCTCTTTTGCCCTGCTCCTGCGCAGTGCAGACCTTGAATACAGAAAAAACAAAATAATGCACCCAGAAGAGGTACATCTATTAAAGAAAAAAAAAAAAAGGGGGGGGCCTTCCCTGGTGGCACAGCAGTTGAGCGCTGGGCTGCAAAGCTGCCCGCAGCCCTCTGCAGTGCCAGTTCGATCCCCGGCCACTGGGCGAGGGTCCCACATGGCGCGCAGACCTCTCCTGCAGCACCCGCTGCTCCCCTCAGCAGTGTATTTCGTCAGTCTGCCTGTTCTATTCCCCGCTCTGGCTCTGGTGAATTCTCTCACCCTCCCGTGCTTCTGACTGTACCCAGTGCTTGTATAAATAAATCTTTAAAAAAAAAAAAAAGGGAGGAACCTCTATGAGGGTTGGGGGTTGGGTTGGGTAATTAAAAAAAAGAACCTTGCGTTAAATATTCATGACTACCAGATCATGACCAAAGACAGGAAATTTCAAATCTCCTCCCAGGAAGAGAACTGGAATGAGTGACTATCGCAGACCTTAGATGGGAAGCCATGGTCCTTTCTTCCTCCTCCCACTGACGCCCATCCACCTGATCCCTACCTGACCCCTATGCCACTGACCCTTTCCTCCACCCATCTGGTAGTTCCTTCCATGTGCTTTGGAGCAAGAGATTTTGCATAGTAAAGGCACTTCCTGATATAGCTGGTGTTTCTCTTCTTCAGCTTTACGATGGCCTACAAGAAAATTTGCTGTAGGAAATATTTTAGTTAATGATTCCAGCATCACCTGAGCACATCAGCTGAAGTAACAAAGCGCTATTGCAATTATATAGTGTCCTTGCATGTTCCAAGGACACAGCTGTCGAGTAGAATGCTTACCAGCGGCTGAAGAATTTGCATTAATCTCAAACCAAGAACTCAGAAGCTGTGTGCATTTAAGAAACAGGCTGAGGGTTAATGGAATCCTCCTAGCCTATTGCTCTCAGCTTGGCCTTGTTCTCTGCAGCACAAATGCTCAATCAATAGCTTGCTTAGTATGAGTCTCACCCTTCTCACTCTTTCCTCTGTTACTGTAGTATAGTAGGGGTCTTTACTTACCGTTAACATAGAGAATGCTTGTAAAGTGTGGGTTAAATATGCTTATGCTAAGAAAATTATTTTTCTTTTGAGTTTGGAAAAATGACTGAGCCACTTGTGGCAGCTTTTTGATGATTTCAGATATGCTAGGAAATGAATTTCTAGACCCTTATTTTTCAGGCTAGCAATTACATAAAGTTAAAATGCTTTAGTATATAAACTCAGAGAAATGACTGGACTGATAGATGCCACACTGAAAAGAGGAGCATCTGGGGAGAAGTGTGGGAGGCATAGAAATAGGTATAGTTGTGTTTTACATGTCTTACTCTTAAAATGAGTATTTTTATTACATAATTGTATAATAAAAAATTAAAACAAATTTTATTCTAGTCACAGCATGCTTTATGCTTTGGGCCAAACAATAAAAATAAACCAACTCATCGATTATATTCACTTATAGAGCTCACTTATAGAGCTTGCTTTTTTTTTTCAAATATTTTATTTTATATTATTCTTACATCATTTTACATTTTTACACAATGTATGCATTTTCATTTTAGTTATATTCCCCATACACTTGCACCCCATACCCTTGCTTTTTTGAAAAACTTTTTCCCTCAAAACTTCTTGTAAGTTTATTTTAACTTATTAATAATCTGGTTACTTATTGATTTACAATGAAGAACAGGGTCCTTTATAGAACCCCAAATCCATGCCCATGTCTAAGGGACATTTCCTCCCAGTGCCAAAGGGCTATTCTGCGGGGTGAGCTTTCACTAGATCCAAGGGAATTCTTGAGAGGCCGGAAAGGCTTTTTCTTCTGGCTGGTGTTGGAGAGAATGAAACACCCCATCTGATTCAAGAGAACTCCTCTAGGGTTAGAAATGTTCATATCCCCACTTGAGCCTCATCCTGGTCAGCCCTGGACAGTACCCCCCTCCCCAGATGATCACTACACTTGCAGATTTACCTAACCTGTTGACAGCCGGTAGGACATTCTATTGAGCCAGCCAAAGTCCAAAATTAACATTAACTAACATTCAGTTTAAATTAAAAAGGGGGAGGGGGCATGGAATAGCCATTCCCTAAAAGGAAATAGTCTTGATTTAGTTCTTTTTCTGTTTAATAAACCAAACTGCCCATTCTTCAGTGACTTGGGACAGATAATTTTCTTGTGTTTTGTTTTGCATCAAATGTTAAACGAGCTTGACCTTTTTCCAGAATAGAAAATTAGCTAGTTAACCTTAGACACTGAATATGCCAGAAAGTAAACAGAAATATTTCAAATCATTTCTAGAATGGCAAGTCCCAAAGAAATAAATATTCTAAATGAAGACAAGATATCTAGATTTTGTTAACTCTTTATGACCTCTTTATCACAAGAGTAGAGTCAACTACTACAGAGACATATAAATCTATTTTCTAGTTAATACCGCATGTGGATTAAAGTATAACTTCCAGAGACAGAGAATTCAAGGTATAAAAATGCCACTTTCACTCAATATTATATCGCAGTGGGGCAGGCACAAGGTAGGTAACAGTATCTGGGCCATTTTATTTGTTTTCTATCATTAGGGGTCATTTTGAGTTATACTTCACTGGTCTGTAGTTTCTTCAAGTTATTATTCCAGTTCACACCAAGAAAGAGACAGAGCTTTGTGCACATCCAGCTTTGTCTGACTCAGAAGCCTAGGTAGGCCCTCTTAGTAGCCATTCAGTTAATGGCACAGTATTTGTTTGGTAAAATTTCAGTTGTAAACTATTCCCATTGATTTAATAAAATTCATGATGTAATTGATCAGGCATTTAGATGTTTGATTTCACTTATAATCTCATTGACAATAGAATACATTGATAAGGGAATTGCTTTGTCTTTTACATAAAGCTAATAATAATGATTTCTTTTCCCCTTTAGCCACCAGCTAAATTCCTCCTTCCAGAGGTGACGGTGCTTGACTATGGAAAAAAATGTGTGGTCATTGATTTAGATGAAACATTGGTGCACAGTTCATTTAAGGTAAATCAGCATAAAAAAACAATGCTCTTTGTGATATGATCCCAATTGTATTGGCAGAGAAAAAATAAAAGGATGGAAGAGTGTAGTTGGTCGTTTATGACTTTGCTGTTTATAAAGAAATCCCAATAACAGTTGCTCATTAACTTAGGTGAGCATTAACTCAAGTAGTTGAATATTAACATAATTAGTATGGAGAAAAATCTTGGGCTTCCAATATCAATGAGACCTACTCCTTACTTAGGAGATTTAAGTTTTCCAACACTCAACCTCTGCAGAAATGAGGGTGTGTGATGCTGACCAGACCACCTGAGGTTGCTGAGGTTCATGACTCCAAAGGCAGGGCCTTGGCAGCCCCTGGTGGCCCCAACGCCTGCTCAGAGGACATTAATGCAATGAGCTGATATGAACAGCATCTTCTGGTTTTCCTCTGATATGCCTACATTGGTAAGCAGGATAGTCTTTATCATATGATTTTAATGTCCTAGACATTTCAGAGCCCTTTGAGTATCCCAAAGCTGTGAACCTCTCCTTGAAAATATACAGCTGTCCAGCACACAGGCTCACAAACACAAGTTGAGAACCTGGCTTTGGAATGGCCTGAGGAAGAGTACTCGCTCTGGGCTGGGGGTTGATTTTTTAGTATATTTGTGGAATAAGATTTCACAATCTCATACCTTGTAAGAGTTCATTTGTTCGGGCTTTCTTTTTTTTTTTTTTCCTTTAACCATGGTTCTGTATTTTAGTTGTGAAATTACAAAATAACAGCCCCATCCTTGGCCTCCCAACCTTAGGAGTAAATAAACGATAATCTTAAGCCTCCGGTGGTCTGCTTAGTGCTTAGTAATGATTTCACAATCCACATTTTTTTCCAGTTTACACATCAAAGAAGAACGTGTGGACACACACATGCAGAGATAACCTGAACGGTAGAGCCCAGTCAGAGTCTGATCAGAGACTCTGTACCCCATACCCTACTCCACACCCTGCACATTAGCCACCTCACACATTCTCCTTCCCTCTGGCTCCTACTTATCCCAGAAGTTTGCAATCTGCTACTCTGCTTGGACCTGTTGATCTGAGAAGTTTTCTTCGTGGAATTTCATTTAGAAAGCAAGTCCATCATTGAGAACATCGTGACTGTTAAAGAGTCATATTTGAATTTTAAGTGTCATTAATATTGTCAAAGACTTAAGTATTCAGGAGTTTGTGGGTGTGCTGAGTGGTGTGTCATTTAGAGCAAAGCAGTATAGGGTAGGCTAACTCTACCCCCCCAGGGCAGGGAACTGTGCCAGCCAAGACCTGAAGTCACTGATGCTCAGGACTGGGTGGAGCCATTGGGACTCATCAGACCTATTAATACAGCCATGGAAGAGGGGCACCCGGGTCCAAAGAGGGGACGAGCCTGCCAAAGGTCTTGGCCTCTGGCTGCACCCCACACTTGGTGAATTGGGTTCATGTGCTCTACATCTCCTGCCAAACAGACTATCACCGGGCAACCTGAACTCCTGGGTGCAAGGACAAATTGTTCCCCCGCCCTGAGGAGCACTGTCCTCCTCTGGACTGTCTGGCTCTCATCACCTTCCCCCTCCCTTCTACCCCCTCCCAGAGGCTGTGATTCTCCATCATCCTGACAGGCAAGAGCTAGCGTTTCTGAGGAGCCCCATTACCCAGGCTACCTGCGCTCTTTGTCACTGAGGCCAGACGAGTGATAAAGAGGTTGGACCAAGATGCTGACAATATAACAATATTCAGAATATAAAATAATGTGTTTTCTTGGTTGTGCTTATTTTAAGGAACCAAGGCATGCTTTAACATCCTTCTCCCGAACTGTTTTTCCAATAATAAAAACGTTGGTCCAGGCGAGATTTTTTTTCTTGCTAAAATTTCCAATTTTGTTCTTTCAGACAGATTAATTACAGTTTCTTTTCTTTCTAGCCTATTAGTAATGCTGATTTTATTGTCCCGGTTGAAATTGATGGAACTATACATCAGGTAAGATATCCAAGCTAAATCTGAGTTTCAGTTAGCACATTTTTAGAAATTATTTCTTCTGTGAACTTTATTTCTAAATTTCTATTTCAGTAATAATCTTATTGCTGAATCAAAAAAAAAAAAAAACACTTTGTTAAAAAAAAAAAATACAATGATTTAGAAATGCTTTTTTTCTCCCAGATGAGTTTATTTTACTGAGTTGGTAAGAAAAATGCAATCTGTTTGTAAACATGAGATGTGGTTGTAAGTTCAAATAGTTCTTTGATTTAATGCAGACTTTTAGAAGTTTCCATACCTGCCACCAGCCTGGTGTGATTGTCTGATACTTAACTTCCTCACATGATTGCTTTCAGCTACCCTCCTAGCAGGCAACAGGGAAGTGTCACAGTGTCCCAAGTCACCCACTTATGGTGGATTCTCAGGAAAAGGTGTCCATTTCCAATACCAGCCCCTCCAGACTGATTTTGTTATTCCTGCACCATGTCCTCCAGTGACTCTTTAGCCAAATCCCAACCCAAAAGAGGAGGGGGAAGGGTATAAGTTTTTGGATCAGTAAACAGCTTTGAATAAAGATGCATTATGGCATATTTCTGATTTTTTTTCCCCCTTATCTGCTTGTAACTTCTCTGGGAATAGCTTCCTGTATGAACATATTGGAAATATTATAGGAAAACTAGCCTCTGTGCTTTTGTTAGCTTTTCTATAGGGATGATCAAACCATTTTCATGTCAGCCTCAGAGGCTTAAGGAGAGAGCCTCTGGCCTGGTGTGTTTATATCCCATGAAGGAAAAGCTCGTGGCTCTTAAGCCACGATGAGATGTCTTTCCTTTAACAATGTCAGTGACAATGTCAGTCTCTCTCACCTTTGGGTGTTATGTGTCAGAGCGGGTAGGACTTGGAAGTCAGCTAGTACAAGCCACTTCCTTGTCCAGATGGGGAAACTGAGGCTCAGCCAGAGAAAGAGTTGGCTTTGATGTCATACCATGGAAAAAATTAAAGTGAGAATTCCAGTCTCCTGCCTCCTGGCCCAGGACTTTTTTCTTGCAACACAAGACCCTCCCATCCCCTGGCCTTGCTTTCTCCCCTGTCTTCCAGGGAGTACTGCAAGGAAACTGTCCTGGGAATGGCAGTCCCTCGGAAAAGCCATCCTTGGGAAAAGCATCTCTTTCCCTAGCCTGTCCAAACTTCATGCTTTCAAAAGCCAGGGAGCCAAAATGTGGACACTTGGTCATTTAACATTTGAAACGCATCAACTGAATTAACTCAGTATTTGAGAAGCAGTTAAAGTTTCTGCATTTGTTTACATGTGTTATAAAGAAATGAGACAAAGTGGAGGCTGCCCACTGGCATGGCAAGAATTAAGAGAGAGATGAATCCTTCCCCATGTGACTGTGAGTGTGACCCTTGAGGCCTGACCTGTTATGGGCAGCCCATTATTATAGGAACCGCCCGCTGCCCCGGCCCCCTTCCAGAGTTGACCATAAATGCCCCAGGGCTGGGGTCAGAAACTCTCTCCTGAGGGAATGAAGCCACAGGCGCCAAGAGGAGGACCAAGGCTCTGGCGAAGACCGTGGCCTCGTTCAAGTAATCCAGGATAGGCTGTGCAGGTCCCAATGGGCCTATTCTTGGTTACTTGCACGGGGACGCGGGCCTGGACGCCGGCATCTGGGCCCAGGACCCTCCTCTCTGCCTGAGGCAGCAACACCAGAGTTCCCAAACCTCTCTCTTCCCCTTTGCATGTAGCAAAGCTTGCTTCCCAAGCAGCATTCCCAGAGAGACTGAGAGCTGCAAGCTCCATGTGTTCCCTGACACCAGGAGTCTCATGAGCCAAGTTGGGGCCTAGAGCTTCTGCAGCCTCAGGCCCAGCCCTCAGCCCCCACCCCTACCTCCTACCTAGCTCCTTACTCTTGTTGGCACCCACCCCAGGGCATCCTGCTCCTCTACATCTTTGGCCCAGTCCCACACTGCCCAACTTTTCTAGTTGACCACAAGCTTCTCACCAGATCCTGCCTCCGTAGGATCCCTGTGTGGTATCGAGCCCCCTGTTCCCTCTTAACTCCCACAGGATATCCAACCTGGTCCGTTTGCCGTTCATGGCCCAGGCATACTCACCGACCTGTCTTTCACACTTTGTCTCCTCGCCTAGCCCCTGTCTCATTAATCACTGCCTCTGAAGGGCTGGTCACACAGTCCTGCCATTCTCTAAGACCCCCAGTATTTTCAGGCCAGTTCTCTCACACAGACTGTTCCCTCTGCCTGGAAGCTCACTTAACCTCATCCTTGCTGACCTGGTGAACTCCTATTCATCCTTCAAGGTCCAGGCCAAATGTTACCTTCTGGGATGCTCTACTCGTGAGAATGGGAGTTAATAGTTCTTAATTTCTCTCTCTACTATAACTTTAATTTTGCTGTTTCTATTTTTATATATTTTTGCCTATGTGTGCTCTAGATTGTGAGCTCTTTGAGGGCAAGGCCTGTGTTGTATTCATTTTTGTAGCTGCTTCAGACTGAGCACAGAGGCTAGGGCTCAGTGAATATGAATTGAATGGTAATGAGTTTGATTTGCTTTAAGGAAGGGAAGTGGCTAATTTAAAATGGAATTTATTCAAATTTTAATTAATTCTTCCCTCTCCCACCTCCTCTACCTTCCCTCACCAACTTTGCCTTCTCACCCATCTCCCTTGATGCCTCGGTTTTTTTCAGGCTCTGTAGTGAGCAGCCCAAAGCCCAGCCACTCTAGGGAAGGCTTCTCTTTACCCCCCCAATCCCTAAACCCCCCCCCACCACCACCACCACCACTTGGAGGCCCGTCCTCAGGCCTGGTTTCTGGGACCTAGGTTGACTCTACTTCCCCTGAAGTTTGTGTTTCTGTACCAAGCAGAATAACCTTTGTGGTGTCAGGTTAACAAGGAGGTTTTAGAACTTTATTGGGCCTACACTTCCATCCCAGGTCTTCCTAGTGAGAGAGGTATGCCAGTTAGAGAAAGTGGCAGCCAGAACAGTGGCAGACCTGCCAGGCAAAGGGCCAGGCACAGACCTTCAAAAGGACAGTCAGACTATGTCCTGTGTCACATAGGGTTTGACCTAGAGTTTGTACAGAGAAACACAGGTGAAAAGAATGAGCCGTTTCGCACAAACATGGCACTCGCTGGTTCTGAAAATCCCCAAGACCCTCACGACCATGGTCAGCTTCTCTTTCTTTTCTGGGAGCAGCATCTGCACCGAACTCAGATCTGGAGCCCAGTCTGAGGAGCGTGTCTGGCCTGAGGTGCTGCGTCTGATTCTGTAGACCGTCATGCAATCTGGGTCTCCACACCACATGTAGACTAGGGGCAAGAAGCCTGAACCTTTTTAGAACTCTTCCCATGTGGGTGTTTGAGCCCCAGGCCATCCCTTGCAACTCCTGTGACTGACCAGCTTGCTGTTTCTGCCATTGCAGGTGTACGTGCTGAAGCGGCCACATGTGGACGAGTTCCTCCAGAGGATGGGGCAGCTCTTTGAGTGCGTGCTTTTTACTGCCAGTTTGGCCAAGGTGAGCCCTGCTCCGGCCCTGGCACCCCAGCCCCTCCCAGCACTTCCACCCTCTCTGTTAACAGACCTATGTTAAGGTGGGGGAGGCTGTCTCTATGGTGACTGGTTCCCACCCCAGATGGGATGGATGCAGGCCATGTGCACAGCACCAGCCTGAAAGGCTTCTGGGTTACCATGGTGACAGGGAGCACTTAGAACAAATGCTCCATGAAGTTGCTGCCTGCAGCCGCCTGAAGCTGAAGCCGCCTGACCTCCAAACCAGGGAATCACGGGTGTCCATCGTGACAGAGAAAGGGCATGTGCATCTCTGGCAACCTAAGACTGGAGTCTCCAGCCCCTGTGCCCTTGGGTTTGGCTAACACGGATTTAGGGGCAAGATCAGTGTCAGAGACTTAACTACATGCTTTGCTGTGGCTACCCTAATGAGCTCTGGATCTCAGCAAGTTCCTTCACTGCTCTCACCTCAGTTTCCCCTGTAAATTGGGGATGATTCTGTCTGCCTTGTGGGGTGGAACAAATGAAATAATGCATGTAAAGGACTTAGCACAGTGCCTGACTCATATTCAGCAAAGACTCAGGGAGCCCCTGCTGTGTTCCATATGCTGTGCCGGGCAGTCTCGTGCTAAGTGCTCCTGTGTTCACTGTTTCTTATCATAATGACTAATGATAATAAAATAACTTACATGTTTTGGTCCTGTAACTTGGTGTGAACCTCTCACCCTGCATCTTTACTGCTCTGACTAATCAGAGTGGTTTATTTCTTCTCTGTTACTGTTGAAGGCAATTAGCAGGTGAAGAGAACCCTCAGCATGTTTAGGCCTCACCTATCGTAGGTAGACTGAGGTGCTGTGCTCTGTATAGGGCAGACTGGACAGACCCCACTTCTTTGGAGGAGATCCTGGCCATGACCACCCTCTCCAGCACTGACTCTTTGTTGACGCCAGGGCACGTCGGGGCCACTGAGAGACCCTAAAGATGAGCTTTGTGAGCCCCAGATTGGTCACCTGCCTGTCTCCACACCTGATCCAAGCCTTCATGTACAGCTTCCTCCCCCATGTCTGTCTCCGGATGGCTCCCTTCTCTGCACTGTGGGGGCTCTGCCTTCGGGTTCCAGACATACTGCTTTGCTGGCCTGGGCATTCCTGGTTTGGGCCATCTCTCTACCATGGCTGAGGCGAGAGTGCCCTGCCTGCATGACATTCTGCCAGGCTCATCGCCAGGTGTTAACGCATCGCTGGTAGAGAGGGACTCCAAAACCCGGGCCTTGTTTTCGCTTAGTGAAAAGAGAACACGGCCTCAGGGAAAACAGTCTTCCCCAGTGAGTGCTTTTTCAAGTGAATGGTACCAAGACTAATTGTATCTGTAGTGTCAGTGGCTCTTCCAACTGTGCTCTGGGGTGCAAAGGAACCTGAAACGATAACCAAAGAAATAACAGACAGGAAGATTGCACTGGTGTTGGTGGATTGAGAATTGTTTCATCATTTGCAAAATTGAAAACATTCTCCCTTGGCGCTGTCCCCAGCACTTGCTTAAACATCCTTGTTTGGTCTCTCTTCCTGGGCTGCTCCCACCTGCCCCTCCATCTGTCTCTCCAGCCCTTCTCTTGCTGCTGCGCCAGCCTAGCTCAGCCAAATCAGCTCCCGAATGCTGCCTTCTACCCCTTTTCCTCCCTGAAGCGCAAGTTTTGGGACAGATAGGCACTCCCCAGCCCTTGGTTCTGGGCTCAGCCCCCAGCCAGCCCCACTGGTGCAGTGGACCTCCAAACCACCACCCAGGGTTCTACAGGAACCCGCCAGTGTCTGCAACTTTTTCTTAGTTTCCTTCCTTCATTCATTCACGCAACAAATCTTTACTTAGCACCTACCATGTTCTGGTATTCTGCTAGGCTCTGGGGATGCAGCACAGAGCAAAAGAGAGAAAGCCTGCCCTCATGAAGCTTACAGTCCACATTCATCTCTGAGGGCTAGAGCCCCCAGACTGAGACATACTCTTGAAAGATTATGCCACCGCCAGTGTTCATGAGTAGGAGGAAATCAGAGGTCTTTTCTGTCCCGTCTTTTCTGTCAGCTTTCTACAGTCCAACCACACGGTGCTTAACGCCCGTAACCTGCAGAAATGGCAGTGCCCCAAGCTCTCACGCCGCTCAGTCAGTAGGGCATATAGCCTGCAGTAGGGCATATAGCCTGCTCTGGGACTTGGCCTCCCCTTAGGATGTCTCTAGAGAGGAGAGGACTTTCCCATGGTATCAAAGCTGCAGGTTGTAGCCCTGTAGTCCTGCATCCTTTGATATTTACTCTGCATTTAGCGGCTTGGTGCATTCCACTGCTGGCCTTCTCAGCACCTCCAGCCTCAGGTGCTTCCTGCTTCCCTGGCAGTCACTGGGCCTGGTTACACCTGGCAGTGCCCTTCTTTTGGTCTTGGTGCTGAGACTTGGCCTCACATCAGGCTTGGAACCACCACCCTTTTGCCCCCAACCCCAGCCTTCATAGACTGACATCATCACTTATGAATATTTTCCCTCATTTCTTTCTTTATCCAGTCACCCCACTTTGGGGAAAATTCCTTGAGAAAGGGCCAAGCAGAATGAATCCCATCTGAACTGGGCCCAGACTCCCTCCCAAAAAATGGGCTGGGCTGGCCCAGTTGCCAAGAGGGCCTCTAGGGGGCAGTATGGCTTCGTGCCCTTCAAACCACATCAAAGTTCGCTCCTTTACTCACTAATAAAATTAGTATTTGCTGAGCCCCACTGTTAGGTAGGCACTCTACAAGGTGCTAGAGGTATCAGGGTGAACATGACAGGCAAGGCCTGGACCCTGCCAAGAGAAGAGAAAGTAAAATAGTCCCAGATGGTGATAAGGACTGTGAAGGAAATTACTGTGAGTCAGTAGAGCCTCCAGAAAGGAAGATGCAGGTGACCTCCAGATAGATGGAAAGGGAAGTCAAGATTGGAAAAGCGAGGAGACAGAAGCAAAGGCTCATGGGAGCTGAGGAGAGGATGTCCCTTGCAGAGGAGACACTGGCACAAGGTTTCTGACGGTGCTCAATGCCAGTGCGGCTAAAATGGTTGGAGACCGGAGCTGAAAGATGGTGGGAATCCTGCCATGGCCCGTGGGATATAACCCAGGGAGCACCGGCCTGATTCCAGGGCAGCAGGTAGACAGTGAGGAGTTCTGAGCAGGGAGTGACATGATCTGACTGACGTGTTTCCAGTGGCCACTCTGACAGCTCTAGGGGATGGGCTGGAAAAGGGGAAGAGGGGAGGCCACCAGGGGAAGAGGGAGGCCCTAGGGGGCTCACACAGCTACCCCAGCCCAGAGATTACAGAGGCCTGAAAGAAATAGAGAGGTGCAGGTGATTCAGGAGAATTTGGGAGGTGAAACTGATAAGTTTGATTAACTGGTTGTGAGAAGCCAGAGAAATGGAAGATTCCAGGAGGAAAGTAGTACGGATCCTAAAACATATTCAGTGATTTAATCCCTTCTTAGGAAACTAATCTGAATCCTGCTGCAGTAGGTCAGGATATCTGGCCTCTTTTGGGTGCCCAGCCTTCACTTCCACACTTGCTTTCTAGTATGCAGACCCTGTGGCTGACCTGCTGGACCGCTGGGGCGTGTTCCGGGCCCGGCTTTTCAGAGAATCGTGTGTTTTCCATCGAGGGAATTACGTGAAGGACCTGAGTCGCCTTGGACGGGAGCTGAGCAAAGTCATCATTGTTGACAATTCTCCTGCCTCATACATCTTCCATCCTGAGAATGCAGTAAGTAGCCCCAAAGAAAAGAGCACAGGCCCTGTCTGAGCTCTGCCAGACAAGCAATCACCACTTTGGTTCCTCCCAACATCTGGGCAAGGTTTCTTGAGCTTTAGGTGAAATCCCTACTCTGCCATGTAGCAATTACGTGACATTGACTAAGTTCCTAGATCTCACTGAGCCTCAGTTGGCCTCACCCGTCAAATGGGGCCTATAAGAATGCTGTTCTCACAAGGCTATTGGAGGATTCAGCGTGGCAGTACATGAAAAGCTCTTAGAACAATATTTGCAAAGGGGAAGCAGTCAATGAACCTCTTATCTTACTAGCATTTTTAGTATTGTTACTGAAAGCAGTTCTGTCTTTCATTAACCTCCTGGAGCTGGCTGCTGTCCAGGACCTCATGACTCCTGTTGCCTAAGAGGGCCTGGGTGACCTCTTTAACACAAGCTATTTCTTAACCAAGAATGAATAAAACACTTTCAATAAGGTCTTCAGAAAAGGTTGCCAGTCTTTGCCATTCCCTTTGTCTAAATGGGAATATTTCCTACATAAAACCCCTTGGAGCATGGTAGCTCCCAGCACCTGTTCTCTGGGTGTAGCATATACCTCAGAGCAAGAGAGATGCCTTCCCACCTCTGTCGGGGAGCAGAGTTGGGCCAGGCCCACCAGTGGCTGCTGAACCTATAGCAGTGGCAGCCATGCCAGCCCTCAGCTCAGGCAGCTTTCCCTGGAGAGGAGGCATCTTCCCAAGCCCAGGCTTCTCAGATGCAACAAGACGGCCGCACACAGGCCTCTCCTTGAGTCTCTGATACTCGAGACTCTGATACTCCGCTTATAACAAAAAGATGAATTCAGACTAGATTCACTTAGTGTGTGATCATTCTTTGAATAAACAGTCAAATTTTATTATATTTAAACATGTTCATTTGAATGAGTTAATCAAATCCAACATAATGCATTTTGTCAAGTGTTGCTAACAGATAAGGATTGCTTCATACAATCACAGTTCCATTATCACATCTAACAAAACTAATAATCTGTAATATTATCCAATGCCAGACTGTGTTCATATTTTCCCCATCATCTTGAAATGTTTTCTTTCTTCTGGTTTGTTTGAGTCAGAATCCAAACAAGGTCCATGCATCACCTTGGTCAATGACTCTTAGTTATTTTTTAATCTTCATACTTCTTCCCAGCTTTTTCTTCCATACCATTTATTTATTGCAGAAACTCTGGTTATTTGTCTTGTAGAAATCTTCTGCATTCTGAGTTTGTCTAGTTGTGGCCCACGCTGGTGTGTGTTCTATGCTTTTCTACTCACCGTATTTATTTGACACATGGAATTCGATCACTACTATTTGGTTAGATTCAGGTCCATATTTTTCCCCCAAGAATGCATCATAGGTGGTATTGTGTACTTGCTGTGGTGTCACATCAGGGAGCATGTATGTCAGATCATCCCACTCTAAGAATTTTAAATTGACCTTTGGATTCAAGTGTTGTTAGCCTGATCCGTGCATAATGTAATTCCTCATCAACCTTCATTTAAAAATGTGAGCGGTGGCTGATGATCATTGCCTACCCACTATCTCATTAGGAATTGCAAATGGTTATTTCTAAATTCTGTCACAGTCTCTGCAATTATAGGCTAGAATTCTTTTATTTAAAAAAAAAAAATTGAACTTGCCCTCATCAATTACAGATTACCCTAAAACACAGCGTGAATGTTTGAATTAGGATAGCACCGTAAAGAGTAATGAGTTGGTGCTCTAGCAGCCTCCAGAAGTAACCAATAAATTTTTAAGTATCATTATGAATTCATGGAGTTTTTTATTGTTACAATTTAATCCATTTATGATTCTTTCATATGCTCAAATTTTCACCTTTGACCAGTGGACACTCTTCCCTTCACATAATAGTCCTTTTTCATAGCTTCCTGCTTTCTGATACAGAATGTTCCAGGCTCATCTTCCAACCTGAAATCAACCCTACAATCAGCCATTTTTCTCTGGAACGTCCTTCCTATTAGTGGAAATAACATTTAGACACCACAGTTTAGATGGGTTCTCATTGCTACTGGGATGTCCTTTGCTTCTGGCCCTTTCTACTGAACAGTGCTAAAATATACATATTTTTAGAATGAAAAGTAATAGTAAATGCATAGTCTTTTCCAGTTCAATGTTAAGAGAGTTTTGGTTTTATTTCTTTGTTTTGATATTTGTATCTCCTCATGCTAAAACTCTTGATTCCTAAGGATATTGACTTTATCACATATTTGACTTACTCTATATGTTTAATACTTTCAAAATAGCATTACTAATATTATTGCTAATGATAAGACAGTATTATTGTCTTATATACAGACAGAACATTGTATTTTTAAGTCACTTGAAATAGTTCTCTTTGTGATTGTATTGCCAACTTTACATACTTAGTTTCATTTCTTATTACATTTCTTTCTTAATGGTTTAATTTTATTTAAACTATGTAACATATTTACATGGTTCCTATATCAAAACTATCCACAAAGATAAACTTAGATAAGTCTTAAGTTTCTTTCTATGCTTTCCCCTGTTCCTGCTTCTACCTTAGGAGGACTCATTTTTTTTTTTTTTCATTAATCCTTACCTTATTTTTTTATTACATAAGGAAATGTTAGTTTCTCAGTTGCCTTTAGATTTGTATAAGGGTCAATTACTTTCAATTTTTTTTAAGATTAATTTATTTATGCATGCAAGAATGGGGATACAGGCCAGAGGTGTGCGGGATGAGAGGATTCACCAGAGACAGATTGGGGAACAGAACAGGCAGACTGACTGAAATACACTGCTGAGGGGAGCAGCAGGCAAGTCAGGAGATGTCTGCTGCTCCATGTGGGTTGTTCCCTGGCCGAGAATGAACTTGGGCTGCAGTGGCTGTGGTTAGCTTCATAGGTTGCATCTTAACCCCTTGCGCCACCAGGGAGGCCCTTCTTTCAATTTTAAACTTATTTGGTTATCCAAGAAATGTCCCCAAATTTCTTTTTAAATCTCTTCTTTGCACCCACTACCACCTTTCCCATGTCTGTGTCTAAGACTAAGGAAAAATTCTACCTTTGCCTATGGTTTTAGAATGTCCTAAAATTGAATAATTCCTCTTTTACCTGATCACTGCTAAGCAAGGAAATTCTTTTTTTTTTTTTTTTTTAAGATTTATTTAATTATTTATTTATTTATTTACTTAGTTATACATGCACTGGGTACAGTCAGAAGCGCGGGAGGGTGAGAGAATTCACCAGAGCCAGAGCCGGGAGCAGAGCAGGCAGAAGGACCGAAGTACACTGCTGAGGGGAGCAGTGGGCGGCAGGAGAGGTCTGCACGCCATGTGGGACCCTCCTCTGGTGGCCAGGGAGAAGCCGGGGATCGAACCGGTGCTGCAGAGGCTGTGGGCAGCTTCACAACCCAACACAGCTCAACCGCTGCACCACCGGGGAGGCCCTAAGCAATTCTACTGCTGTTGACCGTGCAACTTGACCCCAACTGGAAGCCCTTCCATACCCTATACGTGGACTCCCTGGTGTGGGTGGCTGGCAGGTGCCTCTGGTTCCAAGGACTCTAAGGTGCCAGGAGCTAGTTTGATATGATGGAAAGAGCTTTTGGAAATTGGCAAGTTGAAGGACTAGTTTTCGTGTATTCTGCATTCTGGCCACCATTTCCACAGTGGGAAAACAAAACAGGCAAATGTACCCAAACTAGGTAACTTTGCCTTTCTGACCCATCTCCCCAGCCAGGTAGCTTTGGATTGCTCTTAGTTGGAACAGGGGGAATAAACGGAAATGATGCTGCTGCTGATGATGCTGAAGAAGATAATGATTTCTAGATACCTTTCCTCCTGACCAAAGAAGCTGTTAAAGGTATGGGACTCAGGCAGCTAGGAGCAGCGCCACCCTCGGGCCTGGACACAGTTCCACTGCCTCTCTGTGCACTGTCTTCCAGGTGCCTGTGCAATCCTGGTTCGATGACATGACGGACACGGAGCTGCTGGACCTCATCCCCTTCTTCGAAGGCCTGAGCCGGGAAGATGACGTGTACAGCATGCTGCACAGACTCTGCAGTAGGTAGCCCCGGCCTCGCCCTCCTGCCTGCGAACTCTGGAACCTCAGGCCTCGGGGACCTGCCTGGCCTCAGCTTCCCAGGAACTGAAAGTGAGGACAGACCATGCTTCAGACCACAGAGCGAATGTGGCCATACCTACCTGTTTTATTTTTTAAGAACAGAAACAACTATTTTAAAATGAACTCTTTTAATGAATTTCATAAAGGGACATGCATTTTACTGGATTTGCTTTTCTTAAAACATACCAAAAAGAAAAAAATATGGGGAAAAAAAAAAAAGCTTGATATCTATCAGACTTCCTTTCAACTGTCCTCCCCTCCAAGCAGACAACCTGTCCCTCCTGTCCCAGCTCGGAACAGCTGACTCAACTCAGAATCTCTTTCCTACAGGATGAAGTGCCTTTTTGAATGTTATTTTAAGCTGAGAGTTGATTTTTCTATACAGCCTATTTCCAGACATCTTTTAGTCTTTTATTGTCTTAGATTCTCTAAGAAGATAAATAGGACAATTTTCTAGAACCTGGGGGATGGGTGGGTGAGGGTGGCAGAGAATTATAGGAGCCTGTCTCCCAACAGGTGGGACAGCTCTGACAGCCTGTGGCATGCTGCAGGGTCAGGGTCCCAAGAAGAGTTTTTATGACTGTGTCAATGTCTCCGTTCATTTCTGACCCAGTTTGGAATGTATCTGCCATCGTGTGGCTCAACACTTAAGGATACATTAGATCCGTTTATATGATTTCTGATGGTGACAAGTCTGTCTTGAGGTCACATTCCCCCCTTGAAAAGTGACATCCTGTCACTTCTGCTTTCACACTACTACCATACTTTGTATGTAGTTTCGTTGTTGTTTTGGGTAGAGCAGTTACAAGAAACCCTAAAACCCGTGGATATAAATTTTTTTTTTTTTTTTGCTTATTGAATTTTAAATCTTTCCTTTCCGAAAACTGGATACATGTGGAGCTGTTTGGGAATTTTCTTTGCTGCTACTGTGCTGCCACCAAATGGAATTGACCAGCGGCTGTTACACTGTTCTTTGCCACTGTGCCTATGCTCAGAATCTGCTCACTGCTAAGCTGCAAACTTGGACAGGGTCAGAAACACAGGTGTCCTGCCCCATTGCAGACTGCACCAACCATATTCCTTCCCTGGCATCAGCCAGGGGAACTCCAAGGGGTACAAAGACGAAAGGGCCAGCGTGCCACAGAGATGTGACGTGAATTTTAAACTGCCGTCAACATCAGATCCTGTGATAACCTGTGGCCTCGACCAGCCACTATGCTGATGTGGCCCAAGTCCATCTCTTGACCTTCTCTTTTGAAGCACAGCCTATTTCTGAGCCCGGGTCAGGGAAGTCTGTCTAGATGTGGGACTCGTCGCCCCAAGCCAGGGTGAGGAAGCTCCCTCCCCTGAGCTGGCACTCCCTTTGCAGCTCTTCCTAGTGAGATGTTGTAAGCAGTGCCATGTTCCTTGTTTGACAACAAGACAGTCTTTAAAGTATTGCTCTTCAAAGTAATTAAAAAGAACCCTTTCATGCTGGCACCATTGCCTTAGTCCTCTGTGGGTTGGGCCTCCGCCAGCATTGTGGTGGGAGCGACTGGCACTAAGAAGACTGGAAATCAGGGGTCAAAATGAACTTTCTTTTTTGCTTCTACACACAAAATAATGAAGCCAGCTGCCAATCACATCCTCCCAACAGCACTTTGGTCTGTGGATGCCATGCATTCAGGAGAGAAGTATTCAGGGGTAACCAGGTCTCCCAACATTCTAAGTGTTCCAAACCCAGTAATTCACATTTAAGTAGAAATAGCCCCTTGCTCGGCATCGCCACAGATAGTGACAGTTACCTGGCAGATCTGCTATGCCATGAACCTTGATTTGGAAAACCAGTCATTAAATGAACCCGCTGCCTTAAATGTCTTGAATGTGACAGTCGAGTGTCTGTGAAATCCACACTGAAATCAGTCTTGATGGAGCCTTAGACCCTCCCTGTGCCCCCTTCTCATTTGGCATCACAGAGTCTTATTTGGAGGAGGGGACAGAGAAGATTGAAATTCTAGAATATTTTCGGGAAATTAAACCTAGGAACACACCCTACTTCTGAAAGATGGAGTGAAGACACTTGGCAGGTTTGAGCCAGACACTTGACCTTGTAGTTCCCGAACCCGTGAACACCATTGCACTAAGCCAGTGCGGGGCTGTTGAGGGTAGAGCCCAGTTCCTGCCACCACAGACACAGAATGTCTTGGGAGGGCCAGCAGACCCTCTGAGGGTTCTGGAGTCTGTGCACCTTATTTGACCACACTCCAAAATACCATTTTTATTTCAACCCTTGATTCTGTTTTATGTACATAATCAAAATATCGATATCTATAGCTATATATATATATTTTTAATCATCTACATGTAAATGAAGCAATAGAATTCTAACATAAGGCCAAGAAATGAGACGAATGTTTGGGGTTTATGTTTTTTAAGGTAAATACGGGTATTGTTTTTAATTATTACCTTTTATTAAATTGTGGATTCTAAAACCTAATGAAAGCTGTTAGCTATTTCTCTGTGCCATAGATTTCCCATGTTACCAAAACACCCCCAATTCTTTAGCCAAAAGAGAAGTCTCACCTGAGTTTCCATGGTCCTCTCTGTGCCAGGTTAAAATATAGTCTCCTGGACAAGTATTTTTGACATTAAGATCTGGAGCAGAATATTCTGGGACATGGACTCTGGCCCCAGTGATGCTCTGCCATGTCTCACCAGGCCTTTGGCGGAAGTTGCCGGACACACCTGATGTTACTGCTCTGTCTTCCATTGCTCGGAATCCTACGTGTTGGTCTGTGATTTCACCCATTAGCTGTTTGTCAACAGTGCACTTGTATACTGAAAAGGAACACCATCTGTCACGGCTGATATTGGTGGGGAAGCTCCTTTGACATGGGGCAATGTTGATGAGATGACTTTGGAGACCTGAGGATGCCTAGGTCTGGTGACACCATCCCATCATGGTTGCAGTATTTGGGCTTTTGGTATAAAAATGAAACCCTGTAAGTCTGTAACCTGGCAATATTTTACAATCCTCTATTTTCAAGATGGTTTCTTAATAAAATCCAGAACCACACAGCCCTATGGTCAAACACTCGTGACGTTTGTGCCTCTGCTTTTAAAGGTGCTGTGATGGACAGTTGGCACGCCAGAGTTCGGGAAGAGTGGAGGGCTTGAAGTGCTTGCTGTTACCTGTACAAAATTAACTGGCTGCCTCTGTTCCTATTTTACTGTAAATCTGATGGTGTCTCTTCCTGTCCCATCCTCCAGGGAGCTTCTCTGCAGACTAACACCCCCCCAAGTAGAGGAGATGTGGTATCTGAGTAGTCATAGGTTTCTGTTGGACATATGAACATGACATACAATCCAGCACCACTTGGGGAGCACTGCGTGCGGGATGTGCACGTTCCCAGGGGTGAGCGTTGTCCGTCAAGAGGTTTGCGACGATTCCTTCCTGCCAAAAATAAACATGTGGAATTATGCTCTCTTGTGGATGGACTGCTTCTGTAGCTGCAGTGTCTCTCCTCACTTTATCCCCTTCTCTCCCCCTGCACAGCCTCCCACCAGCACCTTGGGTCTCCTGGTGCCCCTGCTTCCGGAGAGCAGGGGTGGATTGGAGTAAGGCTGCAGGATCCCAGGAGCCACGAACCTGACCCAAATGGGTACTGGAAAACCATTCTGCCATCTAAAAGGTCTCCCCAGACTCACCTTCCTCCTGCAAGGATTCCAGCCCTACCAACAGACTTGAAAGTGCAGCTTGAGAGACGCGAACCCCAGCCACAGGCATTGTGTGGTATGTGCGGTGCCTAAACCCACAGCCCTTGAGTACATACACTGGCTAAGATGCCGTGGGGACCAGATGAAGCAGAACAAGCAACCAGAATAAAAGGAAGGGTATACAAGACAGTTTTCTCACAAAGGGACATTGTACACACACTGCCCTCAGCCCAGCTCCTCTTCCGAAGGTGACAGAGGTAGCAAGTCCTTCTTCTAGTGGCTGCTGGTTGTGCCTTGGGCCTGGTCTCAGCACTGCTTCTTCCTAGTACCTAATTCAGATACCAGAAAACATCAGTGTAAAACGGATTGGTTTATCCTCATTTATAGATGAGAAAACTGGCCAGTGAGCCTCAGTTCTAACACAGGGACACAGGTCTCAGGCGTATATTTTCGCCCCAGACAACACAGGACAAGGCAGTGCATGTGTCAGCTCAGGAAACCCAGAAGCAAACTCAAATCAAAACTCCCACAGCTAATCTGTGCATGACTGTGCAGTAGAGCATCCAGCCTGCCAGAGAAGTCACCCCACTTTCCTCCCCTGGTTGAGGAACCCCTAGGCTATGTCCTTCTGTCTCTTACTTGCTCTGCTCTCCAGCCTTCTTTTCCCCCTTTTCATTTCTGGTATTGCCCCCAGGCCACCTTTGTGTCCAGCAAACGTGGTTGAGCACTATGGCTGCCCTGAAGCTGAGACACCCCAGTGACTGTCCACAGATCCCCTGAATAGATGGGAAGGAAACACGGGTCATCCAGAGGTCACTTATTTGGGACTTTGGCACACTGAGATTAGACTTGATGTTCTCACCTGTATTTCAGAGCCAAAGAATGGGCAGGAAGCCAGGGAGGCGTGTGTTGAGCTGTGGATACAGGGGCACTGGGGGGCTTGTGGCAGAGTCCTTGGAGGAACCTGGGATGCTTGTGCTTCATGTCAGGGCTGCTCATGAATAAGCAGGCTGCCCAAGGCTGGGGGTCACCAGCCTGATCTTCCAGAACAGGATATGTGGGCTCCAGAGGTTTTCACCCCAAACCTCCATTACAGCTCCATCTCCTCAGTTCAGTTATCTCATTACAGCTCAGTGGGCCTCGGCTCTGGCTGCCTGTTGGAATCACCAGAGGCCTCTTGAAAATTCAAATCCCTCAAGTTCATCCCAGACCATTTAAACCCAAATCTCTGAGGGTGGGCATCGTATTTTTAAGTGCTCCAAAAGACTCAGAGGTAAAGCCAGGACTGCGAACCCCTCTCTGACTGGTTGTCGAGGAAAAGCAAGTCTCCCAAAACCCTTCCAGTCCTGACACCCAGGTATTGCAAAGGAGCTCTGAGTGGGGATGTAGGGGAAATGACATGGATTGCTCTCCCTGAAAGATCAGTCATACAAGTTCATTGCTGAAAATTCAGGAAACCCAGAAAAGTGCAGAGGAAACCCCACATGGGCACTGGGAGCCTTTCCCGAGGCAGAGGTGAGGAGGCACTGATAAGAGTGCCAGCAGGCTGACAGCTCCCTGTTTTCCCACTGACAAGGGGAGTAGACTGGATACCCCCACTTCATCTTGGAGTGTAGGGTCCCAGATATAGGGTTCCCACAAGGGCCCAAGGCTGCACTGCTCAAGGGCATGGGCCCAGGACCTTTCCAGGCATTGGGATCAGAACCCCAGTCAGTCCCACCCCATCCCACCCCCACACCTGTCTGCTCTCTGGAGGGGTGCACCCCCTAAAGGGCCTGTCTCCAGGAGAGACAAGGTGCTGCCCCTGCCTGGGATGGACTCTGATGAGTCATGGGGCGACCAAGTGGGAACCCCTAGGCAACCTGGGGGTGGGGCCTAGAGGACCGGGCTGGCTTCCCAGGTCTGCCCCACCCACACGGGGGCCACACCCCCCCCTTTGTCAATATTGACCTGGCGCTGCTTGGCCTTCAGAGATAAGCCAGAAGAACAAAGTAGTGGGAGAACCCTGGAAACCTGCCCCAGTCCAGGGGGCAGGCTGTGGGGGATGTGGGGACCCTGGGGCGGGAAGAGATCAGTGGGATGAGAGGGTCATGGCCAGGACTGTGCTGGCGAACGTGAGTCAAGCTGAGTGCCCTTCTGACTCCAGGCAGGCCCCTTGAAGAAGGATCCCCAATTCTGTGAGAGGGTGGCTGAGCAGGAGGAGGGGGGTGGCACGATCCCCTTCTTGCTCTGCAGGAAGGATAGACCGGACACCTCCCTCCTACAAAGCGCCCTAGCTGCCTTTAAGCTCTACCCTGGACCTCTGTTTCCCCTTTCTGCACCATGGTTGGCATCCCATGGAGCTTGTCCATGCTCCAGGCCAGGCCCAGGGCCCGCTGTCATCCCCCGAGGCCCAGATCACAGGTGACAGTGGGGCTGTCCTGGAATAGGGCAGTCTTGCCCTTCCGAGGTCTCTGGACCCCAGAGACCCAGAGAATTCTGTGGGGAGGCCTTGGAAAGATCCTTCTGTGCTGTCCCCCCCACCCCATGGTAAGCTTCAGAAGCACCGCTAGTATTTACCCATTGGCCTCCAGATCCTCTCTGCACAGTCCTCACCCTCCAGCGCTTCCTGCCACAGGGTGGGGAGGAGTCCCGGGCCTAAAGCCAGTGTGTGGCTGTTTAACAGATGAGTTAGCCAGTCCCTGTGTGAGGAGGGGGGCACGGGCTGGTGAGGCTGGATTGTGCCAGGCAGGGTGACTTGCTCCCAGCAGGGGTAGAGGGGTGTGACCCCTATTTTCTCAGAGGAGGAAGTGTCTGCTCAGAAAAAGCCTAAGAAACCTCTCCAGAGTCACTCAGCCAGACAGTGCTAGAGCTGGGTTTGGACCCTGACTCTGGAGAGGACTCGGCCCCAGACCTGGCTTCTGGACAGTGCCCAGGGAGGGTTCAATCACGCCCTCATGGGGCAGGCCAGACCACAGGAACATGTCAACAACAGCGCCATTCTAGACAGACACACAGAGGTGAGCAAGGCACAGAGGTGAGCAAGGCACTGTCCTCCTCGGAGACACAGACTCTGAACATGGGTCCAAATCAATACAGTTACCAGCTGAAAGCACCAACAAGATAAAGAAGGGGGGGGCGCGACTGCTGCCGCTGAGGTCAGGGAAGGCCCCTCTGGGAGAAGCCATTTTGCTTTAGATTTGAAGCAGAGGAGCAGCTGCGGGAAGCTGGGTGAGGGAGGCTGTCAGGGAGAAGCTTCCAGGCAGAGGAAACCACAAGTGCAAAGGTTCAGGACTAGAATGAACTTGGCCTCTATGGGACAAGAAGAATCTTGTCTCTACGACATAGTGAACACTGGGGAGAGTGAGAGGAGATGCAACCAGAGAGGGACTGGCAAGGTGGGACTTTATCTTAGGGAAAAATGGAAGTTTTGAATCAGGAGAGTGGCATGATCTGATTTGCTGTTAGAAGAGACCCCGAGGCTGCTGCAGGGAATGGACAAAGGCTCATGCTGCTAGCACATGAGAGAGACTGGCCCCCAGAGCAGGCCAGGAGCCACAGACTGGCCAGGGGTGCCCCGTGGGTAGGACGGAAGGAGAGGAACCCAGAAGGGCCCCCAGGTTTGGGGCCTGAGCAAGCAGGCCATTTCCTGAGGCTCAGAGGAGGAGGTGGAGCTGAGTAGGGCCTGTGGTGGGTGTCAGGGGTGCCAGAAGGGAAGTGACCAGACAGCTGGGTGATGGAAACTGCGACTGGGGGTGAGTTCTGGAGGTGCGAGAGTTGTGGTCAGAAGAGAGGCTAGAATTTTTATTTACCGCCTGGGACTAAAACTTGGAAAGAAAATAGAAAAGACAGGAGGTGAGACCTGAGCTTTGCGCCCTGAGCCCACTGACATTTAGAGGCCCCGAAGGAGACAAGGGAGTGGTCAGTGGGGTGGGGAGACACTTGGGCTGTTTCAGGGGGAGGGGGAGTCGGGGGGCCCTGGCTGGCCAGAAGGAGAAGAAGGCCTCTTCCTCATCTCCAGGGAATTCGGGAGCCCAGACCAATAGAGTGGATGGAGGGGAGACTCAGCAATGAGGAAGTGGGGAATTTTGCTGGGTATTGGGACAAAAGGAGACAGGAAAACAGGTATGCACAGGTGGAACCCCTAACATGTCACATGCAGAAACGGGATTAGACAGGCTCTCTCCCACATGCAAGGTCAGACACGGGAATGAGCCAAGTGCCCCGTGCCACGAGGCCCCACATGGGGACCCACTAATTCCACCTGCTAAACAGCCACACACTGGCTTTAAGTCCTGATCTCCCCCCACCCGGTGACAGGAAGCCCTGGAGAGTGAGGACTGGATGCTGGACGTCCTCACCGGATCCTCTCCAGGGGCCAGTGAGCAAACATTAGTGGTGCGTCTGGAGGGCCTGGGCCTTGACACCACTGACTAAGGTCGTGGGGGAACTTGCCTCTTTTTCCAGCACCTCCCCCATCTCACAATCAGGAAGGAAAGGAGCAGGCGAGCCGAGGTGTGGGAGAGGCGTCCTCCCTGCAGGGACTGCACTGGCCTCTCCCACGATGGGTATCAGGCTCCCAGGGGAGGGCCGTGCTGGGCAGGGAGCCCACGTGGGGTGAGGAGGAAGCAGAGCCGTGGAGGCAGCCCTGGCCACCTTCCCCCGCCTCCTGAACTGACCTGAGTCTTGCAGAGCCAGACCAGCCCGGCCACTACCAGCAGCCTTGGTCCTACATCCTCCTGAAGTTGGCTGGTGTCACCTGACCTGAGTCCAGCGGGAACCCACCTCCAGCGGGGCAGAGATCAGGAGCCCATCCAGACTCTCAGAAGGGGAGGCACAGTGTATTCTATGCCCCACATTTTGGCCTAGCTCAGGACTCCATCATCTGGTCTCTGCCCACCAGTACGGAAGAATTGAGGCCTGGCCGACCAGCCATGACCCTGGGGAGGGGGTTGGCTCTCGGAGAGCTGGGTCATTATTTGTTGACTGACTAACAGATTGGCCAAGTTTGAAAGCCCAGCCCACCAAGTGGTGGGGTGTGTCCAGGAGGGTGGAAGGAGGGATTGTGTTACAGTAAGGGGAGTGGTGGGCAGAGCCTGGCCCTGTGCCAGGTCCAGCACTGCCCACAGGCTGGGCGAAGGCGCCAGCAGTTTCCAGCAGGTAAGCCTGGCAGGGAGGGGGCTCAGGATGCCACTGAGCAGGGAGGGGTCTCCAGGAAGCCGGTGGGGAGGGGCTGTCCTTAATCAGGGGTGTAAGGCATCAGGCCACAGGGTCAAGGTTGCCAAGGGACTGGTAGAATTGGGGAATCATTGAGCAGCCCAACAAGTAAGAATGTGGCTGGGGGAAGGGAGGCCATCTCGGGAGTGACTTATGGAAAAGAAAGAGGCAGATTTTGCACAGGGGGGGCCTCCATCACCCACAGAGCCAAATGCTTAGGGGGTGCAAGGGCTGCCCTCCCTTCCTCCCTCCCACTCCTGGAAGTTGGACAAAGTAAACTTGGGTCCACCCCTCTGCAGAAGGAAGCTGTACATGTTGGGGAGAGGCACCAACGGAGGGAGCACCCCCAAAGGAAAGGATGTGATGGGAGAGAAAAGGGTATCAGCAGGAGGAAGGGAGAGCCTGGTGGGTAGAGAGGAGAACCCCAGGTAGAAAAGGAGAGGGCAGAGGAGAAGGGGCATTGGGAGAGAAAGGGGGTGTAGAAGGGGTACTTAGGGAGAAGAGGAGGCACTGGGAAGAGAAGGGGGTGTTTGGAGGAGGAAGAGAGCACAGCAGAGGAGGCAAAGAAGTCAGCGGAGAGGTGACAGGAAGGAGGGTGGAAGGTGGGGGAGAGGGTGCTCAGTGGGGACACCACCGGGAAAGCAGAGGTTACAGGAAGGGAAGGCGGTGCCAGAGGAGGGACTGGGTGACAGGGAGAGAAAGTGGGGAGCCCAGGGAAGAGAAGGGGCTTCCAGTAGGAGCAACAGGACATGGGGTGGGGGCCCCACTCAGGGGAGGTGATTGAAAGATGTTCCCCAGAGGGAAGAGGGGAGATTTGTGGCTGGGAGGGCTTGGAGGGTTAGAGGGGAGGGCTGGGGAGGGAGGCAGCCCCTGGAGGAAAAAGGAGCCACCTGGGGAAGGAAGAGGGTGCTGGGGGCAAAAGGAGTATTCCTTCCCCCTCCTCCTAGAGCCCAGCTGGAAGACAGTGGGCATGGAACTGGCTCTCAGAGAACCCTCCCAGCCCCAAGGTTGATGCCATCCTGTCACCTCCCAGGAAGACCAGCCCAGCAGTAACCTTCTGGTCCCAGTTTGACTCCTGTCCCACGTGGGACCGGGGTGCCCCGAGGCCAGCGGGTCTTGGCGGTGCTGTCAGTTTCACACTGTCACCTGACCTGCAGCTCGCAGCTCCTTTTGGTGCCTGTACACTCTCCCGCCTGGGCCCCGCTTCTGCCCCACCACCCCTGCCTGTCCTTGGACCTGTCACTCAGTGTCGCCTCATGTGTTCTGCTGCATGATGACATGGCCGTGACAGGCTCACTTGTCGCCGTCACACCAACAGGCTGTCAACCGCGCCAGCAGTTTGAGTGTAGTTCGAGGGCATGACGCTGCCATCCTCCACCTGCTTTCGCTCGGTCTGGTCAACACCCAGTCACAGGGAACCTGCTAGACGTCAGGCAGCTGGGAGCCCGCAGTGCCAAGAGGACCAAGTCCTGGCCTCAGGAATCCCCTGCTCTATGGTGGACCCCAGGCCAATAGCATGTGGGGATCCCCCCCCCCAGCTCCATGTTTGGAGTAAAGTAGCTCTAACCCCTGGCGGCACTGCTCCCCCTGTCTCCCCAGCTGTCCTGACTCAGCTCTGGGTGCCCCTCCCGTGCTCCTCCCCACACACTTCCATGGCCACCTTGACCTTCAGGAGGGCCGATGTTTCCTACTGTGTGCTCTGAGCTCACCAGGGCCTGAGCCCAGGCCTCAGGGACCCTGGAGAGAGAGCGAGGAATGCCAGCCATGCGGGCACCTGTCACTCTGCCTCTGATTCTGTGCTCTGTTCTCACCCCCCCACCCCCGTTCCCATGGTCTCCCCCACCCTGTTTCTGCAGGGTCAGCGGGGCCAAGGGAGTTTCTCCCACTGATAAGACACAGCCAGAGCAGAGTGGGGAGGGGAATAGAGTTAACACCCTACCACAGCCACTAGGAGGGAGACATTTATTTGAATCTACGGAGCAAAGCCTCAGCAGGAAGAAAAAGCTGCAGCTGGCAGGATTTAGGTTAGCCGTAGAAAGAACTTCCATTGGTGGAGGAATGGAAACTTCACATGGAAGTTTCTGAACGAGTAGCACAGGGAAGCCTGGGGTATTCGAGAATAAAATGCTGAGAGCTAACAAACCTGGGGGCTCCCATTTTCCTTACACACCTCTTGCTCCACCCTTCCTTCCCTCCTCGGCTCGCTCAGAATCACAGAGCACAAGCTCAAGTGAACTAACTCACTGTTTGCAGAGTCTGCAAACCCCTTTTGCAAGAATTTGAGGGTATAACTGACTGGCCCAACCTGCTCATGTTCTCTGAGACCGTGGCTTCCCGCAGTTTGTCCTGGTCCTCAGACGGTTCTGTGTGCATCTAGCTTGGGTTTGCAGAAGCTTTGTCTTGTCTGCAGAGACTGTTTCTGTCCTGAGCCCATGTCTATTTTCAGTCTGTCTTTTTTCAGGACCCGAGTTTCTTGAAACAGTCTGTCTCTATTTCTCTGTTTGCTTTTATTGCAGAAGCTGCCTCCATGCAGAGCCAGACCCTGTCTGGTGCCTCCCAAGCTGGTGCCCTCGCCTGGGACACTTGTTTCTGCCTAAAGTCACTCTCCCTGTTTGCCAAGCTTTGTCTATTTGCAGTGCCTGTCCCGGTCAGCACAGCCTGTTTCTTCCGCCTAAGTGTCTGTCTCCAGACCATGGCCCTGTTTGTAGAGTCTTTTCCTATTTCAGAGCCTGGTTCTGTCTGCAGGACCTGAGCCCTATTTGTAGAATCTATGACATTTTTCAGGGCCTTGGCCTATTTGCACAGCCTATCTAAATTTCCTTGGATAGAAACCATCTGCTCGCAGAATCTATTCCTATGAAGAGTTTATCACTGTCAGGGAGCACGGAGTCTATGTCTTGTAGAGAGCACATCTTGTTTGCAGACCTATACCTGTCAGCACACTCTACTCCTGATTTCACATGTACCTGTTAGCCTGTGTCTGTCTGCAGAACCTGTCCCTATTTACACAGTTTTTGTCCATCTCCAGAATTCACACTCTTTTCTAGAAAGTTTGTTCCTGTTTGCAGAGCCCAGGTTCTCTACAGAACCCAGCCCTGTTTCAAGATCTTGGCGATGTTTGGGGCATCTGTGCTTGAACACAAAGCTGATTTCCCTGCCAGCTCATGTCAGTAAATCCTGTCTGTCTCTGAAGAAACTCCATGTTTGTAGAGCCTTTGTCTGCAGAGCCTGTGTCTTTTTTCAAAGCTTGGATCTGTTTGCAGAGCTCATGATTGTTTGCCTAGCCTGTTCACACCTCCCTGTGTGCAGGTTTTAGGTATGTTTGCAAAGCCTGTTCCTGCATGCAGAGCCTGAGTGTACTTTTGCCTGTGTCAAGAGCCTGCCTCTGTCTAGGAAGCATTTCTTTCACTGAAGATGCTGTGCCTGTTGGCAGAACCTCACCTACCTATGTTCCTGTCCCTATCTGCATAGCGTGTCCCTTAGGCAGAGTCCCCATCTACAGGACTTGTCTGCATCCACATTGGCCTAGCCATTCCCAGTCTGCAGAGCTCCTCCGTTACTGCAGACCTGTGACTTTCTAGAGTCTTCATGTGGAAAGTTCACAATCTCTGATTATGTGCCCAGCCAGTCTGGACTTCCCTAGGTAGTGGCTGTGTCATTTTGCACATGCTGTCCTTGTACACATAGATGGACCCAGTCTACAGTATTCATTTTTGTCAAGAGAACCTGTGCCTGTTGCATCCCTGTCTTCAGTCTCAGAAAGATGTCTTTGCAGAGCCTATACCTGTTATAGAGCCTGTGCTGCAGGCAGAGCCATCTCCTGCCCACACAGCCTGTCACTCTCTGCAGGTGCCATGTGTCTTTGTGTAGCCTGTTCCTAACTGTCTAAAAGACCTGTGCCTGTTTGCAGCTATGTCCTTGTGTGCAGAGACCATCTTTGTCTGCAGGATTCAGTTCCATTTCAAGAACCTGCCCCTGTTTGCAGAATCTGTCCTCACCTGCAGAATCTGTCCCCTCCTGACTACAGTGAGCCCCAATGCAGAGTCTTGTCTGTCTGCTGAACCTGTTTTGAACTCCCTGTCAGTTGGCAGAGGTTGACCCTGTGTTCAAAGCGTGCCCCGTCAGAGCTCAGCCATGTTTCCAGCACACTATCACCAACACACTAGGTCCCTGTTTGCAGACCCTCTCCACGCTGACTCCTGCAGCACCTGTCCTGGCTCCCTGGAATCTGTGTCTGCAAAGTCCTTACAATGAAGGACATGTGCCATGACAGCTAGCGGTGGGGAGAGTGCTTACTTGAAGCCCAGAGTACAGTTCTCCAGCCTGAAAACTCTGGCTTTTGTTGTCTCCTCCCCTACCCCTCCTGGAGCAGGATGGACATCAAAAAGGACCTCCCACCCATCAACAGCCACAGGGCCCTTCACATATGGATCATTGAGGTAGGGGCGTGACACACAGCAGAGCAGGTGCAGAGATTGCTGTTCACTGAGACTATCCCTCCCCACCCCCCAACTCAGTGCTCCCTCCCCTCCCCACCCAGGTGGTCATGGGTTGGGTGGGGAGTGTCTCCTGAGCTGTCACTAGGTGCTCTCTTCTCCCAGAACCTGGAGATGGTGCCAGTGCCAGAGAGGGCTTATGGAAACTTCTTCATGGAACACTGCTACATTGTCCTCCACGTGAGTACTTGGGGAGTCTGCCTGAGGGGGTGGCACAGCCCAGCCTCCAGTCTGGTGACACAGACTAAGTTCTGCCCTGGGAGAGGGCAGCCTGCGGGCCAGAGAATCGCATCGTGCAAGGGGCTGCTGCCTTTGAGGCCTCTTCCACCTCTCCCCATTCTCCACGCCCTGTCCTTGGAAGCACCTGCCCATTCCCCCCAGGGCCCTTGTTACATTCTTGACCTCTGTCTCACCACGTCCTAGCCCCTCACCCCGCCCCTGCGTCCTAGAGGCCTCCCACACCCCCCATACACAACTGCCTGGGCCCTAGGTTCTCCAGAGCCTGAAAGCCCAGCAAAGGACTCCCGGTGACCTGCATTATTGGGTCGGGAAGGAGGCGGGCGAAGAAGCAGAGATCGCGGCGGGTGCCTTTGTGCAACACTTGCAGGGGGCGCTGGGCGAGGCCACCGTGCAGCACCGGGAAGCCCAGGGCCATGAATCCGACTGTTTTCGCAGCTACTTCCGCCAGGGAATCATGTGAGCTGGGTAGGGGGTGCGGCAGAGGGGAAGGGGCAGGGAGGTAGGTCGAGTAACTGGGCAGCCTGGGATGAGTAATTCCCTTATCCCTAGAGTGTGGGGAGTTTTTTGGTGGGTGGGGGTGACACCTTTATTGAGAACCATAACACTTACCAAACAACCCGTCAATTTCAAGTATGCAATTCAGTGATTTTCAGTCTGTCCACATATTTGTGCAACCATCACAGTAATTTTAGAACATTTCATCACCCCAAAAAAAGTCCCACACCCTTTAGTAGCCCTCCCTCTTCCTGCTTCCCTGCCCCCAACACTTCCTTCCCCCATCTGTGTTTATAGATTTGCCTATAGATATTTCCTATAAATGAAATTATACAACCATGAGCCTTTGGGTTTTTCACTGAGCATAATATTTTCAAGGTTCATCTGCTGTTATAGCATGTATCAACACTTTCTTTGTTCTTGCCAAATAATATTCTACTGTATGGATATACCACGTTCTTCGATATCTGGTCATCACTTAATGGATGTTTGGATTATTTCCACTTTTTGGCCACTATGGATAATCCTATTACTAACATTTATATACAACTTTTTGTACCAACGTGTTTTTTTTTATTTCTCTTGTGCATGTATCCAGGAATGGATACTGAGTTTACTTCTTTGCTACTGTGCTTGGTAGAAATGTCTTTTGCTGTAAATTGTTTCAAATCTTTAAAAAATTAATTTTTGCAATATATTTAGGTGGAGTCACAGGAAATTGCCAGTATTGGATCATTTCTGTCTCACACATTTGAACCTAATACGTGTGTATAGTATATATATGAGCACATGCAGAACCCCCCACCCGATATGTCCACCTCCACATGGGGCATACCTCCACATGCATGAATATATATGTTCCCCCACAACACATACATACGGATGCCTGAATTCCATGCACTAACATCTATATTCACATGGATAAACACACACTTAATGCCCCCACTTATTTACAGAAATATAGGTATGCACCCATGTGTGCATACACGTATTCACATCACGTATGCACACGTATTCACGTGTATGAACACATGTATTCACATCTATGGAATAACATATGCACTGTCTCTTCAGGGACAAAAGTGTACATGCACGTGCAATGTGCACTCAGAGAACCAAATACACACCCCTGCCCTGTGTACATACCCATGATCTGTACTTGCACTTGTGTGTCAAGCAGGCACACACATGTCCCTACACATGTTCATGTATGTGCTCACATCTGTGTTCACATCTACACTTGGTGGGGCTTGGGCTTATGTGGGCCCCACTCCCTCAGCTACAGGAAGGGAAGCCTGGACTCTTCCCTGAAGCATGTGGAGACCAATATGTACAACATTCAGCGACTGCTGCGCATCAAGGGGAGGAAGCACGTATCCGCCACTGAGGTGAGGGCTGCTGCTTAACCTCTGGACTCAGCTCCCACTGTCTGTACTGAGTACAGAGGAGGATGGCAAGGATTGGGGGGCACGAAAGCCTTAGCATGCAGCTGTATAAGCACATATGACTTTGAGGGTCACTCTGTGGGTGCGGCTCTGTGCATCTCTAGGTACGAGCAACAGGAGGGGATGCTGTCTTTCAAGGGTGTACATGCTCAAGATGACACTTCTCACTTTATAACCATGACATGCGTGTCAGCAGCTATGTGCATGCGCAGAGACACGTGCACATAAAGTGGGGCATGCACACCTCTTTATGTGTGTACACAGGGTGTAAATTGGGGGTATGCCCAGATGGCCAATCTTGAATGAGAAGGCAGAATCAAGCTTCGGGCCCCATTCCTGCCACTGCTTCTCTGACCCCCTACTTCTCTTGTCTCATGGGCACATTATGAATTTGGGGAGGTGAGCCAAGTAGCACCAGGGAAGATAGAGTAATTTGAGGTGGAGGTATGCAGCCCTGCACTGTGCCACATGTTGCAGCTGTCACCCACAGGCATGCACACTGTCTGCCACTGTCACTCCCAGGGCTACCCCAGGCCACTGAGTGCCCTTGTTAGTGCCAATTAGAACAGAGTGCCTCTTACTTCCATCTTGAGGGAAATTAAGAGAAAATGCTGATCTTGTTAACCTGAGATACTTTGCTGCCGTCCCATGTAATGGTGTAAAGGTAAATGTAAGGGTGTCTAGTGTCTGCAGTGTGAACGGGGACATCTGAGTCGTGCACGTGACTCTGCGTGGCAGCTGGCAGCTCTGTGATTCACAGACCATTCCACATGGGCTCACACGTGGTCACCCACAGATCCAGGGGCCGGGGCCATGCCTCCCTGGTCAGGCAGGGACGCCATACAATAATCCTGTTACTCTGGCAGAATTATTTAGAGTCCCCACTTTTACTCTCACTATCCACAGATACATACTGTCCCCCACGCAAGTGCACATATGCACACACAGAGTGCACATGTGCTGTCACCTGTGAGCTCACACCCTTGCTCACATTGATGTGCCCCCAATTTATACCCTGTGTACACACATAAAGAGGTGTGCATGCCCCACTTTATGTGCACGTGTCTGTGTGCATGCACATAGCTGCCGACACGCATGTCATGGTTATAAAGTGAGAAGTGTCGTCTTGAGCATGTACACCCTTGAAAGACAGCATCCCCTCCTGTTGCTCGTACCTAGAGATGCACACAGCCGCACCCACAGAGTGACCCTCAAAGTCATATGTGCTTATACAGATGCATGCCTGCGCACCTAATACTGGACTAATACACACACCCAGTTGCACAGAAGTGACACACCCAGCTCTGCTCCCCTGGGGGCACAGGCTTTGGTGACCCCTGCCTGGGTGCAGGCAGTGATGCTCCATCTCCCTCGCTGTCCCTCCTGGCCCTGGTAGGTGCAGCTCTCCTGGAACAGCTTTAATAAGAGTGACGTCTTCCTGCTGGACCTGGGCAAGGTGATGATCCAATGGAATGGGCCCAACACCAGCATCACTGAGAAGGCACGGGTCAGTGACAACCCTGGGAACTAAGGGGTGCAGGGCTCTGGGAGAGGGGTGATCCTGCAGGTGCCTATCCTCCAGCTACCCCAAGAGTTGAGCTTGGCTTTCCTATAACCTGAGAAGTACTTATATGCAAGCTGAGTTCATATGCTGCACTGGTGGTAACCTAGATGCCAGGATGAGGGGCCTCCAGCCTCTGCTCCCAACCTCTGCTAGCTGACCAGTGACAGGAAGTCTCTGAGATGCACTAAGGAGTGAGGGGGCCCCGGGGAAAGCGCTGACTGCCAGGTCTTTTCCTGCAGGGACTGGCCCTGACCTGCAGCCTGCGGGACAGGGAGCGGGGTGGTCGTGCACAGATTGGTGTGGTGGATGATGAGGTCGAAGCCACTGACCTCATGCAGATCATGGAAGCTGTGCTGGGCCACAGAGTGGCCAACCTGCAGGCTGCCATACCCAGCAAGAGCATTGACCAGCTGCAGAGGGCCAATGTCCGCCTCTACCAGTAAGCAGACCTTGGGAGCGGGTCGGGGGGTGGAGTAGTTCAGAGTGGGTGTACGTGCCACCGTTACTGCAGCAGCACAGTGTCTCTGGGAAGCCCTCCAGAGACGATCCTGGGTTTCTGAGGGAGGCCATAGGGAACCTTGGCCCCAAATGATACTCTTTCATGGCAGCTTTTCTGAGAAACCCTTTGCACAGACTGGGTGAGTGAGGCCCTAAGAGGGCCAGGGAGCTGCCTAAGTTTCCACAGCAAGGCTGCAGTGAAGTCAAGACCTCCACTCAGGGCCCAACCCCTATGCCTTCTGTATGCATGGTGGGATTGGGCAGAGGGGAAGAGAGGGGAGGGGAGCAAAGGGGGACTACATTGGCACTGGGTCAGGTAGGGGCTGAACTGCCCACATCTGGATGCCTGTCCCCCCAGTGTCTACGAGAAGGGCAAGGACCTGGTGGTCCAGGAGTTGGCAACCTGCCCACTGACCCAAGATCTGCTGCAGGAGGAGGTGAGGCAGACCTGGCCCCAGCCACCCTCTCGGTCCCCAGCCACCCTACTGTCACAGCCCGGGCTGGATCTCCCACTGACAAGCTCTGCTCTTGCTATCAGGACTGCTACTTCCTGGACCAGGGTGGTTTCAAGATCTACGTGTGGCAGGGGTGCCTGTCCAGCTTCCAGGAGAAAAAGGCTGCATTCAGCTGGGCTCTGGTGTGCTGTGGGCCCTGTTTGAGACGGGCATGGTGCTGCCCTGGGAGCCCCAGCTAGCATCCAAGAAGCCACGTGTGGAAGGGAGACGTGGGGTTGCCTTGAGATCTGAGGAGTCTACTGCACTGGTGCCCCCTCAATTTGGGGGTGGGGGTTGGGGAAGACAAGGCTCCCCCTAGGGTCTCACATGTTGCCAAGGCCCGCCCTTTCCGAAAGGGGGGGAAGCAAGGGGGGTGCCTCCCGGGCCTTCTGGGGCCCAGAGCTGGCTCATTAAGCGCTAAGTGGGTCATGAGCCCTGTTAATTAACGCTGCTCAGGGCTCAGCTGGCCAAGCAGCCTGACGGGGGGTCCCGCGGGTGCAGAGAGTAGTGCTCCCTGGGGCCCGCATGCCTGAGCAAGTCCGTGCCGCAGGGCTTCATCCAGGCCAAGGGCTACCCGACCCACACCAACGTGGAGGTGCTAAGCGACGGCGCCGAGTCGGCCGCGTTCAAGCAGCTCTTTCGGACGTGGACAGAGCGATGCAGCACCAGGACCCCCAGCTGGAAGGGTGACGGGCTTGGTGGGGGATGGAAGGGGGGCGCCGAAACCACCGCAGGCAGCAGAGGGGCACGGCCGGAGGGCGGGGTGGGAGCGAATCTGAACTTTTCTGGGTGATGGGCTGGGTGGTGCCTCCGGGGTCAGGCGCCAATGACACCTTTTGCCCCACCCTCAGGTACCCCGAATCTGGTAAAGCTGGACGTGGGCAAGCTGCACAGCCAGCCTGAGCTTGCGGCCCAGCTCAGGATGGTGGATGATGGCTCCGGGAAGGTGGAGGTGAGAGGCACTGTCTGGCTTGGCAGAGGGGAGATGGGCAGAGTCGTCAGCTCAGAGGAGTAGGCTTTGTCTTCAGGGGAATGATAAGGCTGCTCAGGTGACCCAGGTACAGCCAGATGCATCTTTGCGCACAGTGAGTGATGTCCTCCTGACTGCGGCTCCTGCACATCACACCTAGTCACATGCAGCCATACAGGCTCCGTCCATAAAGTCATGGCACGCGGGACAGTAAACCTCGACTTAATTATGCCCGTTTGTCATCTGTGTGACACAATCATACATGTGATAGTGCAGGCACACGTACTCATACCTGGCAGTTGCACTCAGTCATGCCAGGTACACGTCTGCAAGATGTCACTGCACAAACTGCATCACACATGATCACAGTCACACCACCATCCCCCTACAGAGGACACCAACAGACGCACGGTCATACATACCCAACCACAGCCCCACACACCCAACACTGTCACAACTGCCAGCCACCTATCTGGCTGGGACAAAACGGGACATGCCAGGGGAGGGGGCCATTTCCAGGCTCCAGAAAGGGCAAGGTTGCATCTTGACTTATTGGCTAAAACCTGAGCAGGGCCCTTAATTCCTCTGGGCTTCAGTCTTTTTATCTATAAAATAGAAGCAAAAACCGTGGTCCCATCCTGCCCCAAGGCTTGTGTCCGGATGCCGTGGGACTCTCAGGATGGATTGCTGGGCTCTAGTCCAGCAACCAGTGGGTGGGGTTCTAATCCTCAAGGTAGGTGGAGGTGTGAGAAAATACCTTTTCTCCCAGGTTTCCTCCTACTTTTACCCTAATCCCACATTTACAGGTGGATGGAGGCAGTAAGTGGGAAGAGACCAAAGCAGAAAGCAGAGCAAGGGGATAAAGAAGACAGAGAGAGTGGTGGGGGGGAATCAGGGGCGATAGAGATGACAGGCAGGAAAGCAGAGAGGAGGGTGAGGGAGGGAGGCAAGGAAGGCTTTAGGGCCCAGGCCTCAAGCAGGAAGGCAGGGAGGGGATCCCTCCCAGCAGGCCAGGTGAGTGGACTGGCAGGCAGGACCAGGCTCCAGCCAGGAGGCTTGGCAGTCAGGTAGGTGCTGCTCCTGGAGGTTATGAGGTCGAAGTCAGGCTCTTCTGCAAAAGGCAGGCTCTTGGATGCTCTGGTCTAGAGACCTTCTCCAGAGACGCAGTCAGGCTCTGTGTGGGCAGAGGAAGCTCAGGAGTGGTTTCCTGCTACATGGAGGTGGGTATTATTATCCCTGCTTTACAGGTGGGAAAACGAGCTCAGAAAGGTCCTTCTGGAACATGGGGCCAACCTGGATTTTCCAGGGTCGGCCTGGGTCCAGAGCCCATGCTCAGCTACCATAGCAACAAGAAATCACAGTGACAAGTGTGAGGAAGTGTTTTCCTTTCAATCCTTGAACAGTCTTTGGGTTTTTTTTAAGTGACACTGGAAAAAAGGGAAATTTTTCCAAGAGCCCTGAGACCTTGCTTCTGCCCAGCTTCTGCTGTCCTGGTCTGGGCAGACGAGTGGGGACTCGTCTATCCTGGTGCTGCACCCAGGCTCAGCACGGCTGAGGGCAGGCCAGCACGTGTGTTGTGCAGCCTGATGTGCACAGGGGAAGGGTCACCTGTAGATCTTTGCACATGCCAGCACAGAGTGTGACGTGGCGCTAAGCTGGGGGCGCCCCAGGCCTGCACAGAAGAGGCAAACCTCAGGCTGAGGAGAGCTGCCTGGGTGGGCACTGGGTGGGTAGTTTAGGTGGAGGAGCCCCTGCACACATTGGTCCCCCATTCCCCAGATATGGTGCATCCAGGACTCATGCAGGCAGCTCGTGGACCCGGAGCATCATGGACAGTTGTGCTCAGGCAACTGCTACCTGGTGCTCTACACCTACCAGAAGATGGGCCGTGTCCAGTACCTCCTGTACCTGTGGCAGGTACGCTGGCCTGAGGGGGGTAGCAGACCCTTTAAAGCCCAGAGTTAAAGACCTGAGGGAAGGAAAGAGCTGCACCCAGCCCTCATTACACTCATCACCCCTGCCTGCAGGGCCACCAGGCCACTGTGCATGCGATCAAGGCCCTGAGCGACAACGCTGAGGAGCTGGACCTCATGTACCACGGAGCCCTGGTGCTGGTGCACGTCACCATGGGCAGTGAGCCCCCTCACTTCCTCTCCATACTCAAGGGCCAGCTGGTGGTCTTCCAGGTAGGGCCCACATCACCCGTGGGGCCACAGCCTCGCTGCTCCTCCCTGTGTCCGTGGCCCTCTCAAGAACATGTTGAGCACTGTCTCTTCAGCTAAGCCAGGGCCCGGCTGACCAACCCCAGTTTCTCTGAGTCCCAGGAGCCCCGAGGGTGACCCCTGCTGAGTCTCTTCTCCCTCCTGCTGAGTCTCTTCTGCCTGTGCCCAGCACCAGCCACAGAGCAGGGGCTCAGGGGAAGAAGGGAGCCAGGACCTTGCCTGGAGTCAGACGGACAAAGTGGGGTCCTCTTTCTGCCTTCGAGCTTGAGGGAATCATGTCCTAAATGGGCTGAGGGGCCCATTTAGAAAGGGACTGGTTCCCGATCCAAGACTGACAGGTTCCTCACACTCCTCACTCAGAGGGTCCAGAAAACAGTGGTGGCATCAAGGAAGGTTCCCAGGACCCCATGGCAGATTATCCTTCCCTGGGAAAGAAGGTGGCCCCCAAGAGTCCTTGCCTCAGCCTAAGGCCCTGCTCCCTTGCAGGACAGCACTGGGCACTATGGGGCGACGCCGTCAGCCTCTGCCACGAGGCTCTTCCACGTGCAGGGCACCGACAGCCACAACAGCAGGACCATGGAGGTGCCAGCCCGCGCCACAGCCCTCCACTCCAGGGACATCTTCTTGCTGGACACGTCTAGCATCTGCTACCTCTGGTTTGGGAAGGTACCCCCAGCACTGACCACCTGACTCCTGCCCAGGGCAGTGGTGCCAGCTGGGGACGGGTCCTTTTCACAGGGGGGACACATGTCAAATCCAGCTTCAATTACCCGGGAGGGACAGAGGGGACGGCCACAGTGTCCCCTCTGGAAGCTGAGAGAGTTAGAGAGTGACAGATGCATGGGGGAGGCCCCTGACCAGAGCCAGGCCAGGCTCAGGCTGCCTCCCTCCTTCCTGCCTCCAGAAGGGAGAGGTCCCTTCCCTGTTCTCCTGGGTAAAAAGGAGGCCTAGTCTAGTTTACTAGTTTTCTCTCATCTTCAGCATAAACCGTAGATCCTGAGGATCCCCATCATGCTCTGAACCCAGAACTGTGGAGACAGAGCCTGGGGGTGGGGGTGCAGGCAGGGAGGAAAGGAGATCCCTTGGTCCAGGATCCCTTGGTCCTGCCATTATTTTGGGTCTCCCGTGGCTCAGGCCCTAGTAGGGATGTGGGACTGAAGACCTTCCCAGGGACTGACCCGGCCCATTACCTGCCAGGGCTGCAGCGGTGACCAGCGTGAGATGGCACGGGTAGTGGTCGCTACCATCTCCAGGAAGAGCAAGGAGATGGTGCTGGAGGGTCAGGAGCCGCCCCACTTCTGGGAGGCCCTGGGAGGCTGGGCTCCCTACCCCAGCAACAGGAGGTAACAGCACTGGGAAGAGGGTGTTCTTACAATGAGGAGGAAATTGAAGCCTGAAAATAGTGGGTGACTAATTAAGGGTCACACAGAAAGATGAATAGGTCGGACTGGAACTGAGGACCCCTGACTCCCGCCCTAGGGGCTCCCCTGGGCACAACCCACCTTCCACTCCCTGGCTCTGGGTTACTTGGATCAGGAAAACAGGCGCCAGGGAGCACGGGGCAGTGGCGCCCTCTGCTGGCAAGAGTGTTCCCTGCAATGTCCCAATCCTGGACCTCGCCACCTGGCAAAGGACAAGGAAAATGTGCCATCTCCCAACCCCACCACAGCCCCGGTGGGTCGTGATACCTGTGGGGGCGGTGGGGGGGGGGTATATAGATGGACAAGAATTTTATATAGGATTGCGGGGCAGAGGGAGACCTTAGAAGGCCTGAATTCTAGGACTGATTTATGGGCTGCATACCCCCCAAGTCTCCTGCACCCTGAAGTACTACTGCCTCCTTCTTAACTTAGCTTCCCATCTCCCACCAACCGGGTCTGAGGCTGGCTCCCAGCCAGGGGTGAGACCAAGTACTCCTCTCTCCCCGGGAGGACAAGGCTCCAGTTCTGGAATCTGCCCACTCCTGGGAAAACTAATGGGCTAGCTTGTGCCATAGCTGACTGGCACTGGGCAGGTCGCTGATTTTGTTTTCCCCCTGACAGATGGGGACACTGAGGCCCAGAGAGAGCAGGGCATTCCCAGAACGAATGATGGGGTGGGTGGAGCTTAGAGGAGAGGTCCCTAGCCCCTGGGATAGGGCTCCCTGTGCTGAGAGCTCATGGAGTCCCACTGGTGAGCAGCACAGGACTCCTGCCTCCCTCATGGCCTTGTGTCCATGCCGCCAGACCCCAGGAGGACGTCTTCAACTTCCAGCCACGACTGTTCGAGTGCTCCGGCAAGGTGGGCTGCCTGGTCCTCATGGAAGTGGTGTTTTTTAGTCAAGAGGACCTGGACAAGCATGACGTCATGTTACTGGACACCTGGCAGGAGGTGAGGCAGCCGCCCCTGGCCCACTGGGGTGTGCATGGGTGTGTCTGTAGCTGTGTGACTGGGCATGTGTGTGTTTCTGGTAGTATGCCTGCATGTAAGCCTGTGGTGGGTCTGTGTGATGGTGTGACACTAAGTGACTGTGTCACCGCAGGATGGTGATGAGGCTGTGGAGACTGACTGTGTGACTGGGGCTCATGTGTGATTGTGACCAGTTTCATAGTTGTGTGTAACTGTCCTGGAGATGGTATGTGATTCCAGGGGACTGAGTGCCTGTGGCTGGTGTGACAGCGCCTGAGGCTACCTGTGTGACTGCATGCTACCTGTGATTATTTACATGCAATTCTGAGTGACTGTGTGTGTCTGATTTGCTGTCTGGCAGGTGGTCGTGGGGATTGTGTCTAGCTGTGGTTGTGTGTCTCGGCTGCACTGTCTGTGACTGTGTGAATGTGGACATGAAGGCTGAGCCAAACCATCTCACTGGGAACAAAACCTAAGCCCTCCCTTACTGCAGCCCCGTGTGACTGGGCTGCCCCAGCTCTGTGACCCAATTTGCTCCCTCTCCCGGCCGCTTGCTGTGCTTCACTCTCAGAGGCCTCCTTGCCTCATGTCTCCTGCCAGGTGTGCAATGTGCCTTTGCGTTGGTTGTTTTCCACTTAGACACACGTGCGTCTTACTCCCTCACCTCCCTCGGATCTTAGCAAATGTCCTCAGTAAGGCTTCCTCTAACTCTAGTTTAAAATGACAATATTGGGCCTCCCCTGGTGGCACAGCGGTTGAACGCTGGGTTGCGAAACTGCCTGGAGCCTCTGCAGCGCCGGTTCGATCCCCGGCGGCCAGCGAGGGTCCCACATGCCGCGGCAGACCTCTCCTGCCATGCCCACTGCTCCCCTCAGCAGTGTACTTCATCGGTCTGCCTGTTCTGCTCCCTGCTCTGGCTCTGGTGAATTCTCTCATCCTCCTGCGCTTCTGACTGTACCCAGTGCTTATATAAATAAATAAATAAATCTTAAATAAAAATAAAAAATAAAATGACAGTATCCCCCCACCCCCACCTGCCACCACCACCTTCTTCTTTCCCTGCATTACTTTTCTCCATCTAATATGCTGCATATTTTACTCTCTCTGCAGTAAAATGAAAATACTACAAGGGCAGGACTTTTAGCTGTTTTTTTCATTGTTGAATGCCCAGTGCGTAGAACAGTGCCTGACACACAATAGGTGCATAACAAATATTTGGGATCGAATGCCTACAGGCACTTTTGTGAGTTGGTGTGTTTGTGCATGTGTGTATGTGTCTTTTGGGGGGATGTGTATATATGGGGTGGGGTGGGGTTCTGAGACCATCTAATAGATATGAGGGAAAAAAGTGGTGAGCCCTGGGCAGCCCCTCCACCCACTCAAGGCCAGGCCCCTCTGTGGCCCAGATCTTCCTGTGGCTTGGGGAAGCTGCCAGTGAGTGGAAGAAGGAGGCGGTGGCCTGGGGTCAGGAGTACCTGAAGACTCACCCAGCAGGGAGGAGCCTGGCTACACCCATCGTGCTGGTCAAGCAGGGCCATGAACCTCCCACCTTCACTGGATGGTTCCTCACCTGGAACCCCTACAAGTGGACTGTGAGTGAAGCCTGAGGGTCCCTTCACCCCACCTTAATCCAGGGGAGAGGGGCCTGCCTTGGGCTGACAGTAAGGAGGCATCGCCCTGGACCTCCAGTGGCTGGGGGAGACATGGCCTTGTCCTCTTGTCTCCTCCTGGATCCCATTGCTGCCACTTCATCCCGCCACACCACCCCCCTTCCCATTCTTGTCCCCAGAACAACCCATCCTATGAGGAGGTGGTGGAGGGCAGCCTGGGAGCCATATCTGCCATCTCTAGGATCACAGCAGTGAGTATTAGAACCTGCCAGGCCCCCTCCAGGGGTCTGGGCTCAGATGGTATGCTCCAAATGGGCACAATGGTTACGGAAGGGCCAGGCCCTGGGAGGTAGCAGGGGTTGCAGTTGGCAGCAGAGAGGCCAGTGAGTTCAGTGTGTCTCCCTGTGGGAGCCTAGCTCCCACATTCCCCATCCTGAGTCTTCTCTCTGGACAGGAAGTCAACAAATTCCACTTGTCCAGTTGGCCAAGAAATGGCAGGGCAGGCACCTTGGGCCTGCAGACCTTCAGGAGCTCCCACGACAGCTTAGAGAGCGAGCTGGAGCTGAGCTCCAAGACAGGTGGCAGCACCAGCAGCAGCCACAGCAGCAGCAGCTACCCCAGCAGCCCCAGAGCCACCATCAACGGGGGCCTGCGCCGCGAACAACTCATGTACCAGGCTGCCAAGGACCTGCCAGAGGGTGTGGACCCGGCCCACAAGGAGGTAGGCATGCAAGACCCCTGCCCCTCGTCTAACACATGAATTAACAGCCCAAGGAACCCAGAGCATGAGCCACTGAATATGGCAGTGGGCAGGTGTCCCAGGGAGATGTGTTCCAGATGGGTGGGCTACATAGGTGGGTGAGGAGCACCTAGAGCCCTGGGGCGACACCTCTTAGTGGGTGGGGCAGGTTTCAGGGCTCAAATCCTTCCTCTGCATCTACACACCTTCTGCACCCCCATTTCCCCCCCAGTCATATCTCTCAGATGCAGACTTCCAAGATATCTTTGGGAAGTCCAAGAAGGAATTCTACAGCATGGCCAAATGGAGGCAGCAGCAGGAGAAAAAGCAGCTCGGCTTCTTCTGAATGCAGGTCCCACCTGTGCCAGTGCCACCCACCTGACCAACACGCCTGAGGGTACCTCCACTCACACCGAAGTCCCGGGGGAGGCCCTCTGCTGGGACCCCTCTTGGGTTCCCCTTCCAACTTGTCAGTAAAATCTTGTCACCCTCACAGGGTGTGGTGTGTGTGCTGCCCAGCCTGGGCCACGCTGTGGGTACACCTTGGGGAACACGCCCCTGGGGCTGGTGGTGGTGCCACATTCCAGAAAAGGACTGAGCTCTCTGTGCCCTCCTCCATGGAGGGGTTTGTTTCTTGCTGGTCCCTTCTCCCCAAGAGTCCGAAAAACCCTGCTCACGTGTGAGTGCAGAGAAGATAGAGAGATGTTGGGGTTCCTCTTGGGGTATACATGCGCACACACACACATACACACTTTACAGGGATGTTTCTGATGTGCAGGTAAAGAAACCACAAGGCTTAGTGTTAAGATTTTTATAAAAACCGTCAACCTAGGGCTGGCCCGAGGAAGAGAGGGCTGCAGTGTTGTTCCTAACGGAATTGAGGCCAGCTCCGGGGCTGGGACGGCTCTGGGGACCCCAGAGAGGCAGCAGCACAGACAGGGTGTTGAGCTGAAGGCAGGACAGGGCTTCTAGCTCTGAGCGGAGGGTCAGGAGCAGCCAATCCCGTCTGACCCCCAGACAGGGACAGAGAGCCTGACCCACTGTGGGCAGCTCCCATCAGACTCCCTGAGGCAAGTCCTGGAGGGACATCTTCACAAAGAGGGTGGCAGATGGGTACTGGTCTCCGTTTTTGGACAAGAGGTGGACGTGCCGGTATCCTATCGGGGACAGGCAGGAAGGAGCACACGGTGAGAGGTCCAGTCACTCAGGAAAGATGTGTCAAGGGACAGCCTAAGGGATGCCAGGCCCTGTCTCCCCGCACCTGACCACCCCCTCCCCTTGACAGACTTACCCTGCTTGAGGCAGCTCAAGGGGATGGTGCTCTGGCCAATGAAGTCATTCTTGGAGGAGGCGTCGTAATCCTCCACCACGAAGCGCACAAGCGCCAGCTCGGGCACATTCACTTTAAATTCAAACTCCTTGTCCCAGCGAGGATTGAAACCTAGGGGTGCAGGCACCAGGTCAACAGCAGGGACCCCAGTCCCAGCAGCCAGGCCCAGCCCAGGCGCGGCACGTACCGTTATTGGTGATGACGGCGGTCTGGCGGCTGGCCGTGTCCTGGCTCATGCCGTGAATCTCCACCGTCACCTTGGGGTCCACGATTGAATTCTTACTCTTATTGACTTTTGGCAGCTGCTGCCCTGTGATGACCTGAGGAAAGGCGGGGGGCAGTGAAGGGGTGAGGAATGGGGGGGCGAATAAAGGGCCACCTGTCCTTCCTACAGCTGGTCATACCTTGATTTTGAGCTGCTTTGGATTAAACCAGGACCCCTTAACCAGGGAACGTGAGTTGAACGTAGAGTTGGGGTCTCTCAGAAAGGCAGGCTTCAGCACGTAACCGCAGGACCCATTTTCCTGGAAGCGGCCCTGATACACGTCCATCTCTGGCCCAGGTGTCTGGAAGTTCAGGGCCACTACAGCAGGACAGAGCAAACACAGGCTGTGGGCTGGCCTCGGAGGCCTGAGAACACAGCCTGCTCAGTGCATGCACGGAGGCCTGGAGTCACTCAGTGAGGGAGAAGCAGGGTCCAGCCTCACTCCAATGTTTCTGTCCTCCTGCCACCCTAACTGACCCACCCCACCAATCTCACTTTCAATTTCTGGTGCGAATTCAAAGGACTAGTGTGACACCAATGGGGTTTCGGACACGTGACTTGCTGGCAAGGCAAGATTTCCAAACTATGAGCTTTTAAGATCACAAATCCTTGCTTGGGCCCCCAGAGGTCCTGGCCCCTGGCACTCCAGCCGCAGCCAGCCCTACCTATCTGGCAGCCCCCATTCCACATTTCCACGGGATGGTAGTTGGAGGAGTCGGTTCTCCAGCCAGCCGGGTAGATCCTGCTCAGGTGAGTGATGTTGTGGTGGACAAAGCTGTTTCCTGCGGGAGTGTGGGTTGGTCAGAAGAGGACGCCTCTTGGGCTGCTTCTCCTCACTAGCTCTGTGTGGTAACGGCTTGGCGTGGGGGTGATGTTTGGAGGGTGCGGGCCAGGCCTGGCATGGGCCCGCGCAGCTGGTCAGGGCCAGGCTCACCTGATTCTTGGAGCAGTCGGAGGGCCTGGTTCTCGGAGAAGGACACCATCTCATAGAAGGCCTGCCCAGGGGTGCCAGGTTTGGCAAAGCCCCCAAAATGGACGCTCTTGCAGTAAATAATCATATCCGAGAGCTCCTTCACTAGCCTGAGTTTGTCCTCCTGGGGGCCATGGGGAGGCCCGGGTTAGAGTCAGAGGTTGGGGCAGGTGGGCACTGAGAGAGCCAGAAACCCAGTCACAGAGAGAGAAAGACAGAGAGAGGGGAGCAGAGGGTCTGAGTGGCAGCCACAGAGAATTGGGACAAGGCAAATATCCCAGGGGGTGATGGGCGATGATAGGGAGGCAGGGCCCCAGGGTGGATTCCCATCCCCCCGAAGCTCCCCCGGGTACCTTGGGCTTGTGCTGCACTCGGCTCCTCACTGCCTCATCTTCCATCTCTGCAGCCTCATCCTCGTCTGACACAGTGGCCTCGGGGCCTCCTTCCCCACCCTGGGGTAGGAGCCCTCCCAGCTTCTTCCCCTTCAGCAAGATCTTCCCCTTCAGTTGCTAAGGATGGAAAGGCAACTGGTCAAGCCCCTCCCAGCCAGCCCCCCTGCCCTTCCTCCCAGCTCACCTCTGGGGAAGGCAGGCTGGTGGTGACTCCCTCCAGGGGCCGGTCCAGCAGCAGGGGCCCCAGGATGGTGCTCAGGTGTCGTGCCATCACGCGCTGCTGCTCCAAGCTGCAGTGGTTCTCCAGGGACAGGATGACGGGGTAGGGGGAGGCCTGGAGGTCCCAGGGCAGGTTAGGGGCGCTGGTCACCCCTACCATCCTCCTCTCAAACCCCTTTCCCCAGCGCACCCACCTTGAAGGCATAGTCCCGGATGGCCCTGAGCACGTCGCAGAGGAGGATCTTGGAGGTGAACGTGTAGCCGTGGTAGATGACCGGCTCCAGGCCGGGCCCGTCCCAGCAATCGAGCTCCAGGCAGCGGCAGCCTTTGCACAGCGCCCTGCGGGCAGGGCTGGTAGCTAGTCCCCCAGCCAGCCCTGCCCCTGTGGCCACCGACCAGCCCCCTGGGGTCCTGCCCCCAGGCTCCCCGCCCCACACACCGGATGTAGGCTTCCGTGCTGCTGGGCCCGGCGATCTGGTCTTGCGTCAGGTAGGTGTTATGCGAGGACGACACCAGGTAGTGGCTGAGCGGCTGGCTCATGTCCTGGTAGACTCGCCGGCGCGCCAGGCTGAAGGCGCTGCCGTCGGCTGACAGCAGGTACATCAGGAAGCCGTCCTTGCTCATCTGCCGCTGCGCCTTGGCTGGGAGGGAGGAGGCTGACAGTCAGGGCCTTCTGTGGGCCAGACTCCTCCAGGGGACCTTCGGTTGCCCCCGCTGGGAGAAGAGGCGCTCCCCCCACCTGTCCTTACCCCCGACTTTCCCCCCCAGTCCCGTACAGAGCTCGTCCTACATATCTCACAGAGGCCAGTAAGTGTGACTCTCCCAATCAAACTGTGACCACCTCAGAGTGAGGCCCGGTCTCTTCTGCAAAGCCCTACCCCATGAGGCCCCCCAAAGGCAAGGCCTCATCTCCTTCTCTGTGCCTCCAGACTGGAGCTCCCTACAGGACAGGGGTCCTTCTTCTCTGCTGGGCCCAGGATGGGCACAGAGAAGGAAGAGGGGGTGGGATACCCGTTTTTCCAGTCTCCTCCCTATTTCCTGAACCCCTTGCAGGAGGGTGCAGAGTGGGGTCGTGATGCTGGAGCCCTGTGGCCCATCTGCCTGCTGTCTTGGGACAGGCAAATCCGGACAAGGGGCCCTGGGGCTGGTTGGGATCCCCTTCCCTCCAGCTTCCTTCTCTCTGGCTGCAGTCTCCCCAGGGGCCTCCTGGCCCAGTGTGACCCTGGGGCTGCAGATCGCTGGCCCTGGCCAGGCCCTCACCACTCTCGTCGGGCTCATAACGGTCAATGAGGGAGAGGGCCAGCGCGGGCCCTGCATCCTCCTCCCGCTGCTGATGCTGCAGGAACTTCACTAACTGATCCACCGACAGGGTCTCCCCGGAGCCCGCAGCCTCAGCAAAGGTGCGGTCAATCTCCTCCCGCTGGGTCAGCATCTTGTAGAAGGTCTCAATCTCCTCATCCTCCAGGGAGTCTGTCTGGGAGTGGTCACATTCCTGCAAGGCCAGGTGGGCAGGGCTCAGCGCTGACCCTAGGCTAGGGGCAAAGACCCACTGTCACACAGCCTGCCCTCGCTTCCCGCCTCACCCTGAAGATCTTCCGGGCATAGCTGTCGTCCACCTGGATGTTAAGCTCCTTTAGGAAGTTCTGCAGCTCCTTAAAGCTCATCTTATTGTCCTTGTTTTTGTCAGCTTTTCGCAAGCAGGAGCGAATCCAGCTGGATAAGAAGTAAGGAAAGAACCCAAGAGCCCTGGTAGCCGAGGTACAAGCTAGAGCCACAGCTCAAAGCCCAGGGTCAAGTCCAGGTGGACTGAGCCCACCTGTACACATAACAGTCTCTTTGGAGGAAATACTGCAACCTATTAAGGGCTCTTTTTCCTTAGCTGGCTTTGAATTCATTGAGATTTTTATTTTATTTTTCTTTATGGGCCTTTTCCGGTTTTTAAAAACATTTCTCACTATAAAAGGGTTCACTACAGATAATTTAGAAAAGGCAGAAAAAGTAAACAAGCAAATCCCCTATTGTTCTGTCTCCCTAGGGTGATACTGTAAACATTGCAAGGCATCTGCTCAGCATTATTAATCATTAGGGGAATGTCAATCAAAACTACAACCATAACAAGTGTTGGTGATGATGTGGAGAAATTGGATACTTGCATACTATTGGTGAGAATGTAAACTGGTACAGCTACACTGGACAACAGAATGGCAGTTCCTCAAAAATTGAAAATGGAATATACCATATGACCTCATAATTCTGCTTCTGGGTTGTAGGGAAAGTAAAGTGTCAGGCTTTTCTGCCCTCCCGCTATTAGGATTGATGATGGTCCCTGCGGTCCTGAATGCATGCCTGACGGCGGGCACCTGGAGTGGGGTGTGGGCTGATGTAGATGGGATTCACCTGGGCTGAGACTGGGCTTATAAGGGCGGCATCAAAGGGACCCCAGCGGAACAGCAGAGCAAGAGAGCGAAAGGAGCAGAGAAGCAGAGGCCACGAGAGAAGGCCGGAGCACCCAGAAAGAGTGAAGACTTGCTGGGGGCTGGGAGTCCTGCCAGGGTGGATTCCCAGGGTGGAGTCCCAGCACCCTGGGCCCTACCAGCTGACTCAAGCAG